GTTTCCGTCTTTTCGTCTCTTAGTGAAGTGGATCTGTTGGTATACACGTCAGCAGGGCAACCGTACGGTTGGAACGAAGTGTCAATAATGGTCTATTATTGCTGCGTCTTGAGGTGGAAGGAGGAGGTTGTGGGCAGAGCCCACGGCCTCTCAGAAGTGGTATGTAAGGGGTCGTTTGTAAGTGCCCATACCGCCTTCCAGATCCACCTTTTCTGCCGACTGCTCAGAGATCCAACACTTTCCATTCCTTGGTTAGGATGTCACAGTTGTTCTCTAGTGATGTTGAGCTTGCCAAGATAGCGACGTCATCGGCGTAGCCGAAACGAGATCGCTTCCTTCCTAGGCGAGCTATGCCTAGCTTGAAAAGAGGTTCAATATAGAGCATGAATAGAATGGGAGACACGGGTGAGCCTTGTGGTAGTCCGCATTCGAGACCGAAGACGTCTCCTACCTCCCCATCAAGCCTTATTCTTGCTCTCCTTCCGGTAACAAAACTTGAGACCCAGCGTACGAGGTTCTCCGGCCATCCTTGTTCGCAGAGGCGTCGGACCAGTCGTCCTGGGAGCACGGCGTCGAAAGCCCCTTTTATATCGAGCGTAAGCATAGAGGTAACCAGGCCTCTTTGCCAGGCGCACTCGATGTCGTGGATGGCCGCTGCGATGAGGTCGCTGCAAGAGCGAAGAGGGAGTGCTCCAAACTGTTGATCGTGCAGAACACGATGTTTAACTGCGATCCAGGCAAGTCGTCTGGCGATGAGTCTCTCCAAGCCTTTTCCGAGGACGGCCAAGAGCGCAATTGGCCTATAGGAGCGCGGGAGTGTCTTGTCTCTTTTTCCCGGTTTTGCTAGGATCACGAGAGTTGCTTCTTTAAAACAAGTAGGATGCCAACCCTCGCGTATACACCCGCTATAAAGTGAGAGGACAATATCCTCGATAACTGGCCATGCTATTTTCAAAGCAGTCGTAGTGATTCCGTCGGTCCCAGGAGTCGTGTTTCCCGCGGTGAGAACCGAAGACCGTACCTCGTCCTTCGTAACCTGCGGGAAAGGAAGCGTAGCTTGCCTTTGTAGGACTGGGCTTTCTGTTGGTATGTCCTCGGAGATTGCAGCGTTTCTAAGGAGGACGCGGGTAAATAAGTCGCGCTTCTCTTTTGGTTGTGAGACAAGCGTGTCTTGGTTGTCTACATCTCGGAGTGGCGGGGTCTGAAAGGATCCTGTGGCTTTGTACTAACCGACCATTTCAAATATGTCTTTGCTTGAGGAGGCTGAGGAGATCTTATCTTTCCAAAAGGCATCCTTGGAGCGTTTAAATTCGTAGAGGAAGTCCTGTTTTAGAGCTTCGACCTCCTCTTCTTCCCATTGGCAGTTCACTCCGGCTGCGCGGAGTCTTGCTAACATCGCTCGCTTACTCGCATAGGCTCGGTGTTTACGTGTGCAGCTCTCGCTCCAGTATGGTCTCCCTGTACCTTTCCCGAGCGTGCGCTTTGTGGAAGCCGTAAGTGCTTTAATAAGACAGTCCGTAAGCTGTTGTGCTAGGAGATCTAAAGACTGTGGGTCTTGGATGTTGCTTGCAGTGCGGCGCATGGGTTGTAAGTTGCGTTTAATGATACCGAGGAAAAGCTCCTCGTCCATCGTGTCGAGCCGAAACCTTCCCGGCGTCTGGCTGGGTGAATCGATCAGGGCCAAGGGGACCCGGGTAAGCAGAGATTCGTGGTCTGATGTCGTGTGTAGTGACGTTTCTATGCTGGTGGAAGCCCCATGGAGGTTGCTGGACGCCCAGCATAAATCTAGGGTGTTGCCGCCTTTGTGCGTGGGTTCACCTATAGGTGACATTAGGACAAGGCTAGCGGCTTCTGCCCATTCTACTAGGTTTTCAGCGTCCGGGGAACTCGTGGCCTCGGGCTGCCACGTCCAATGGTGTAAGTTAAAATCCCCCGCAATCAGTACTCGATCCTCAGGTTTGGGTTGCCAGGCCCCTAGGATGTTCCTGAGAGCCTGGCCAGATCGCAGAGAGCCACGAGGGGCGTTATATACGTTAATGACTGTGAGGACCTCCTTCGTTCCTAAGAGGAGTCGTAAGAAGAGCAGGTCTATAGATGGATCGGGTAGAGGCCGTATTTATACGCCTCGTACCCCAGTTCCTCTGCGGAGGTAGGTAAGTACCCTGGGACGGTCTTCGGTCCAGTTATCTACTGGGGTGAAAGTCTCAAAACCTGGGTGGTGTCTTGTGAGCCTCCTCTCTTCCGAACGGATAGACGGCTCTTGTATTAGGAGAATATCGATCTAGGCTGCGTAAGCTAGGTTCAGTGCTGTTTCGTGGGCGGATACCCGCCTGCCCACATTCGCTTGCATGATTTGCAGGGTTTTAGAGGGCTGTATTCTTCTTTTGTATCTTATTCGCCGGGGTACAGTCCATCGCTTATTCTTCTTTACGGGAATGTCGATGCGACTGCTGGGTCGCATTTCTCCATAATCTTTCTCCCTCAGCTCGGATGGCCCGTAGCTGAGCCTTATCCCTCCTCTGGACTACCCCCTTCACCACTTTGGGTTGGATAGGGCAAGTCGCATCGAAGGCGGCGTGAGGCCCGTTACACGACGGGCATTTAAAGGGGCAGTCGCAGCCATCGTGACCCTCAGTGCCGCCGCAGGGTGCCCGGTGTTGATCAGTTGTGTGGGAAGGAGAGCTGCACTTGAGGCATCTCTTCCTTCTGGTGTACGTTCGTTCGTTGTGAAAACCGCCGTAGCGGAGACATTGAGGAGACCTCTTCTCCTTCGGGAACTGCAGGTTTACAAAAACGCTGGCCCCATTAAACGGAGGCGTCTTGGTAGTTGCCTTACGGCTTCCGCCTTGAACCAGGCTGTCACCGTGCCTAGCCTTTCGACTTCGTCCTTCCTAGAGAAGTGTGCTTTTTCAGGCTTGAGTTTCGTCGAGACCTGGATCTCTTCAAGGAGCTCCTCGGTCGTGATTTCCAGCTCAGTGTTGGTTACCAGACAATGCCTGGTATAAGGGACGTTTGCGATATAGGCTCGGATCCAGGTATCGCGTTGCTCGATCGCTTGTGCTTGGAGAAGGGCAGCGATCTATTCTCTGTTCTCTAGCAGGACTTTTGCACCATCCATTGACGAAGGTAGGAGTGCTAATCCTGTCTTAACATGGTCGATCCCCTTGAGGGCTTCTCGGGCTTGGGGACTTAGCCTTTCCCGAACGAAGATGTATATGTCGTAGGCTTTCTCGTTCCGAAGCGGGCTTTCAGGCGATAGACGCGCGAAGACGCGTAGATCCTTTAAGGCCGCCCGGTTTGTAGCTTGTTTTGCGCCTTGTTTGGCTGGCGTTGGTTCATCCTGTCTTCTGGACAGTAGCTGGCTCGCCGCCGCCGCGTATGAACGGACTGGGGGCGGCTGGTTCTGGGTTGTGTGCGAGGGATGCCCCTGGGAACTCAGGTCAGTCTCGCTAGGCCCTGTGCCAATAGCGTGCATAGACCTTGCTAGACCACGTTGATGCCGGTTTGAACGCTGTTTCTCCTCCTGAAGCTCTCTCTCCAAGGATTCGGTCTTCGTCAAACAGTCTTTCAAAAACTGTTCCCTCTCGGCGTCCCGACGCAGGAGGTCCTGGACCAGATTCGAAAGCTTATTGATCTCGTCTTTAAGCTCAGAGTTGTCCTGGTGGTTAACCTGCTCAACCACTCTGACCTTTGCAGTCGGCTTCCGGACTCGTCCCGACCGCCGAGATATACCGGCGTCCCCGTGAACCGTGATCGATGGCCCTACATCTAGGGAGACCGCCATGGTCGTGGAATTCAGCTCGTATGGGCTGATGTTGAGAGATGATAGTGCAGTGGGCCGTAGCCCTCTATAACCTTAATAATTACTAACAGTGGGTACCTTTCGAGGTATGTGTTCGCAGGACGGGGATGCAGGAGACAAGGGACACTAGGCAGCCTCTCCCGGAACGGAAGAACTATGGTACAAGTCACGTGATGATAAGATAAGCCATGAGCGACCATGGTGGGGCCATGAGCGCTCATGCCAAGTAATGAGCGCTCATGCCAAACAATGAGCGCTCACCCGATCAGAGGGACTGATCATTGACAAGGGATATGTTCAGGACCAGGACTTGTATATAGGATGGACTCGAGCCGGACTCTAGGACAGACTTCCATAGCTCTTCAGCAATTAACTTCGTATCAGATCTTATGATCGCTTTCAGCTATCTTTCCTGAGAACCTCTTTGATAAGACTACGATTGATCACTGCAGCCTTCCCTTACCTTACGACTTACAGACATAGCTTCCCTGAAGCTATCCACGACTACGATTACTGTTTCCAGTTCCGCAGCCTCAACTTCTGCAAACATACCTCACTACGACTAGCTGGCCGTAACACAACAATAGACCATTATTAACACTTCGTTCCAACCGTACGGATGCCCTGCTGACGTGTATACCAACACTTATATATACCATTCGAACCGCCGCAATCACCTCTACTTCTTTAAAAAGTTTCAAAGGGACTAGATTTTAACTAGTATTATGTTACGAGCTGGACAAGGCAACCAACTGTGGCACAAAGCAAAAGCTTCGATAATGATGACTCCGGTCATCATTGTCCCTTGTTCTGCATATATAACTACGCGCCCACAGTGACAAGTTGCGGCGGGCGTAACATATTATAAGGGCAATTAGTAAAATCACATCAAAATATATATATATTATCGTAAGGTTAACTTAGTAATAGCGTCATATTTTAGTGGCTGGGGATGCCCGAATAACTAGGGCCTAAGCTGATCTACGGCCTCTTATTAGCCAGAAGTGAAACAATCAGGTATTTCAAGTCAATCGAGGGATGTAGGATTGACTAATTGACGGCGGCGATGGCATCACTTTGACTAGTTGATTTGGGTAACTTGGCAAGGCGCCTTGTACTTGCGGAAGCGCTGATCAACATGCTTCTATGTTTACGAGTCATATTTAATCCAGCGGTCTGTTGTCTCCCACACTACTTCTCAAGTCTCCTTAATATTCTCAACTTCCCAAACCGCGCCCTTGCATAGCGGCTCCCTGAACCGGCCTGTTTGGCCGGCTGAACAGTGATACAAGAAGCCGACTTCGTTGCAGGTAACTAGGACTGTTGAATCGACTTTTCCAGCTCGGAGAATAAGCTGGCTTTGCTTGTGGACCACGGAAGTCCCAGAGTTGCCGCAGAAATAGACGTTGTTTGTATTAAGGTTGCAGTTCGAAACTCGCTTGTATGCATTGGCTTCGCCGTTGAAAGTCCCTTCACCGCAGTCTGCGAGAGCTTGACCCCACAGCAGGGTTATAGCCAATGTAGAGAGGGTCAATAGCTGCATTGTGACTGTCTTTGGTTGAGTTTGACGATCTTTCTTTTTTTTCAAGTATATGATTGGGTGGGAATGAGGTGCAGGTTGCTTGCTGCTGGAGAGTTGTGGTGTTGCTTGGCGTTCGCAGTAGAGTTTGACTTCCCTTATATAGGCAGCTGATGCCTTTATTCTCAACTCTCTATAGTTTCTAGCATAGTACGCATAGCCGTACTTACCGGAATTATCGGCCAAATCTACCTTAGTGTTACGCCCGCCGCAACTTGTCACTGTGGGCGCGTAGCTATATAATGCAGAACAAGGGACAATGATGCCGGAGTTATCATTATCGAAGCTTTTGCTTTGTGCCACAGTTGGTTGCCTTGTCCAGCTCGTAACACTTAGCAGACAATCTCATTGCTTTGAAATGAGCGATAGGAGCAATATGAAATTGCTCTATCAAGTAGACTGAACTCTCCTTGATTAATGTGGGGGTTTGCGAAGTTTTATCAGAAGCTCTGACCGTCACCTCACGTACTACACTGACTGTGTATGGTCGACTCAGATAAGCAGCGTACTAAGTGGGCTTGAATGCGAGTCAGAGGAGAGGCTTCGGGAATAATCCGAGCCCCGTGAAGGTTCGTGATTTTATTCGCAAAGTGCTCCGGTCAACAATTAATTTGAATAACCATTCCGCCTATGAGAGATGAGAAGTTAAAAGCCTGTCTACACCATCCGTGCGGACTGATCCCGCTAAGGTGAGGCGAACTGAACAGAAAGGGAGTACTTCAGACGACAGCAAGAGAGAAACAGAGTCTGATCTAGTACGAAAACCCGGAATAATTCTTGCAAGGCTTTTTGTCCCCTTCCGCGGCAGCTCACTCATGTTTGCGACCGAAGTTGGGCAGGAAGGACAGGTGAATAAGGACAGGTGAATAACAAAAATGCGAGTACCCCGAGCAGTATTAGAGATAAGACTTGCACGCCATGGCGCTGAGCTTGAGCTCCAATGTCAGAGCCCTCCCGGATAGGGGCTAGTTAGAGGTAGTAAGGAGTCCAAGCAACAAAGGAGCAGCTCAGATATATATACAGCGCAGGGAGTACACGTCGGGGGAGGAGCAGATTTCAGTAATTCATCATTCTACCCCTAACTGCAGTTGGCCTCTGAGAGCTTCCACCCTGCGTCAACACCCCAACTTGACATCCAATGACAAAGGATAGGATAGCCGCGCCACTGCCTCCAAGAGCAATAGCAAAACCGATAGTACTAACGTGTAAGTACTGTGGAGGCAATACTACTGTATTGGATCTGATGATGATGATGGGAAAAGCTGAGCGCTGGCTGGGCTGGATATCTGGGCAAGGTGTAGGTGGGGCAGCTCCGAGATGTGAAGGAGCTGCCTCACGTGACCCACCTGCACCTGCCACACCGCCCCTCAGGCCAGCCACAGTGAAAACTATCGTACATGTGAGAAGCAGGCTCAAATACCGACAATCCCAATTAGTCCTCCGCTGTATCCCATGCTCCGCCTATATCCTCCGTCCTGTGCCTGAGCCAAATAATCCTTTATCCCTTGTTTGTTCGGTCGGGTATAAGGATATCTATATGCTCATTTGCAAGCGATTTTCGTAAGGCCAAGCATTTTGACGAAGTTAGCGTGCTTCTCGTGGTTTAACGGCTTCGTGAGTCCGTCAGCAGGCATGTCATGTGTTCGGATAAGTTTGAGGTTGAACAAGCCGTTTTTGACTTGATCGATGATCCACTTGTATCGTAGATCGATGTTCCTGGTTCGCGCCTGGTTTAGTGGATTCGTTACGTTGATCAGCGCGTTGCGGGAATCAGTAAATAGGACCGTAGGACGAGGTTGAGTGCAGCCGAGAAGTCTCAGCAGCTTATGAACCCATTGGACCGAAAGTCCCCTTGGAGTAAGGTTAATGAATTCAGCTTCCGTGGAGCTGGTTGTGACGTAAGTCTGTTTCTTCGACTTCCATATCACTGGGCCACCGGCAAGGATAACGACGTATCCTCCAGTGCTCACTCGGGTAAGGCGACAGTCGCCAAAGGCCGCGTCGCTGGCAGCATGGAGTCCGAGGTCATCAATAGGCATAGAAGCGTCAAAGGTGATGCCGAGGTCGACTGTGCCAGTGAGGTATCTCATGAGGTGCTTGATTGCTGCGAAGTGGTGCTCACCAGGGCGGCTGTTGGCTTCGCAGAGTTTGCTAGTTGCGTAAGTTATATCGGGGCGCGTACCGGTCGAGAGGAAATTAATAGAGCCTGTCATTTGCAAGTACAGCTTGCAACGGTCAGTTTCAACTGGTTCATACTCAACTGGCCACTTAGCGACCATATTATGATCCATTGGTGTACGGACTGGATAGAGGTCCACGTATCCGAACTTCTAAAGCATCCTGCGACAGAATTCGGCTTATAATAGGTAGAGGATCTTAGCTCTCTCATTGCGACAGACTTCATAACCTAGGAATCTCTGAACGTCTCCCAGTTCTTTCATACTGACAAATAACTTAAAGAGATCCTTGACTTTGCGAATAGTGTTCCGGTCTGGAGCAGCGATGACGTTGTCATCAACATACATCAAAACAATCCAGTTGTACTCGTCATAGATAAAAAGGCAGACTTCGCCTTCAATAGCTCGAAAACCGAGGTCAGTCATGTGACCTTTGATCTTGTTGAACCACCATACAGGTGCCATGGGGTGGCCGTCAAGGGCACGCTTGAGGAGGCAGACTTTGTCTCCTTGGCGATAGCCATGGGGCTGCTGGACGTACACCTTGGTATCGTCCGGGATAGAGGCGTGAAGAAAAGCTGTGTCGTAATCGAATAACTCTGCGATGTAGGTCTTGGTTGCAACAACAGCAAAGAAAACACGGACAGAGGTTGCATTAGCGACAGCTGCGTACAATTGTTCAGCGGACCAGTCAGATACCGCGTGGTTGCCACAGACAACCCATCGGGCACGATATCTGCCGTCAGACTTGATATCGCATATCCATTGGCCAGGAAGAACCTTTTCTCCGGTTGGAGGGTCAACGAGTTCCCAGGCTTCGGCTTGCTGTAGCGCCTTGATTTGCTTATCAAAAGCAGGTTGCCACTTGTCCCACTCAGGACCCTCTTTGGCCTGCTTGAAAGTGCGAGGTACGGTTGGACCAGCGAGTGCGGCAGCGGCGATGGCAGATAATACTGGAGGCTGGTTGTCTTCCCACACAACTGTGTCAAGGCTGACATAGGCTTGTTGATAACCATCAGACTTGGCATACGTGTTGCCTCGGAGAGAGCAACCGCTGAAACCGCCCCTCTTCTTGACCCAAGTGCCCTGTGAGTTTCTGACATGCTCACGTGTTGAGGCTCTGTTTGGTTGGCTTGGAGGAGGGCGAGGTTGACGAGTTCGTCTAGTTGGTTGTGTTGTAGGTTGAAGATCGTGATCTTCTGTGGCAACTACTATCCCATCGAGTGCCAATTGGCAACAGGTACATGCCCTTGAGGGGAACTGACCACTCAGGAGACAGCCAAGACTTCTTCTAGCCAACCAAAAAGCCTAGATTATGGATACTTCTGTTGTCTATATACTCTGACTATGAAAGAGGTACCAGCAATCATCCGAGTTACAAAGCGCTACTCCACACTGCAGGCACCCTGACCTCGTCTTTTTTCTGTGGGATCGTGAGTGTTGTTGAACAGGGCCTCGTACTGCGGCTTCATTGGTCCACTGTAACCACGATTCAACCAGCCTCAAAGCCACATACTGCTGAAAAAGCTCCAAAGGGGTAGTAGATAGACCCCGTACTGTTGCGGCGCGGTAGGGCACGTCGAGGGGGTTGAATTGGCCCGGTGTGCCCCTTTCTAGCGGAGGCGATTCGTGTGGGCGTACAGTTGCGTTATCACACCTCTCGGGCCTACATTGAGCTGTACAGGCGCTATCAAGGTCTTCGGGAAGTACTGCGACGGTGATATGTGAAAGCGCAGACGAATCAGACGCATCAGAGTCGCTTGAGGACATCGCGACAGTTGCCCATCTGTAGAAATGTTAGTTGTGGTGGTGAACGCAGCTGGGAAAATATAGGGGTTGATGACGTACCGTCATGTATTCCCGCGGTGAGGGGGCAAAAGTGGGTCAAGACTGGGCATACTGTACCTGTTGCCAATTGGCACTCGATGGGATAGCATTGGCTTTTCGTCTCCTCTGCCCGAAAGAGGCGACCCCTGCCTCTTGTTGCTGCTGCTGTTGTTGCAGAAGGCACCGAGATCCTGCCTCTGAACCGAGATTCTGCATGCAGAATTGCGCTCATCTAATTCCTCCACTTACGAGGCATAGCGCAGCATAGTGGGGGTCCTCGGTGAGTAGGTTGCGATGGGGGACGACGGAGGCGAGTTGTTATCATCGCTCTCGTCCATCGTATATCTATCTTGATATCAGCCCGCATGCGGTAACTCCCACTCCGTATACGCGAATCAAACAGCGAAATCTCGTAGATCAATCCAGAGCTCAGACTTTCTCATAGAATACTTTCTACTCATCTTTTCTTTCCTTTCACAAAAGTTCCAGAGAGACCACTGTGCCCCCTACTAGAAAACGAAGATGGTGGACAAGCCAAGAAGATGACATACTCAAAAGAGAGGTGCAGGGAAAAAGTACCAATCTCCCCATTCCCCCCCTGCCACTTGCGCTGCCGAATCTAACAAACATCTCGATCTCCCAGTGCGCCAAGGCGGGAGCGTCCAAAACTGGAACGACATCGCCATGTCATTACCAGGCCGCACCAACAAGGATTGCCGCAAACGGTGGGCAAAGATCCAAGTCGATATCCGAAAAGGTGCATGGACACAAGAAGAAGACGAGAGGTTGCAGAAGGCCGTACTGCAACTCGGGTGCAAGTTGGTTCACCCCACGCTCCCCTCATTTCCTGCTCTCTCGGGACTCATCAATGCTAACCTCCACTCTTGTCGCAGATGGTCTCAAGTAGGCACCATGGTTCAAAGTAGGAATGCCGACCGTAAGTCGAATCATCCTCGTCAATATTCCCCCCTTGATTCCCCTCAGTGCTGAGATGAAACTTGGCTGTAGAATGTGCGAAACGGTGGCAGCACGTGTTGGGACCCGACGTCAAGCACTGTTCCTGGACCCCCGATGAGGACAGGAAGCTGCTGAACGCCATGAGTAAATTCGGAAACAACTGGAAGCAGATTGGTCTGACCGAGCTGCCGGATCGTTCAACCCACGATCTACGCAATAGGCAAGTCAGAAAGTCTGGAGCATCATGTGCATGGACCCTACAGCTGACCATCGCCCACAGAAGTCTCATTCTCGGCCGCAGGAGTCGACATGCACAAGCCAAGGGCTCAAATTCCTCTCCACCGTCATTACAAGGGTCCATTGACGAGGAGATGGCCAACAACAGCCCTGGCGGTAACGATGAGGAGGAGAGTTGCGACGGTGACGGCGACGACGTATCTGATGAAGGTTCCGAGTCCGAACTGACCGACTCAAGAGGAAAAGAAGAGCATCGGTTGCTGATTGACATGAATCTTCTGTTCGAAGATCCAGTTGAGGCAACAGAACTCGGGGCCGCGTCCACGATCATGTCAGATAACCAACAATCACACACATTCTTGGAAGTACCTGCTCTGGAGTTGCCAGGGAGTACTTTCAACATGTTTGATCCCAGCTGCATAGGCAACTCAGATCTTTCATCGATCAACTCGGCGTCTCTAACTCCGGACACCGATTGGACTTCTTGGCTCAATTCACTTGAGGCCGACACCTCAGTATCGCCGGATTCACGGCCCTCGTGGTGGGATGAAGGCTCAACTGAACAACATTACTTTCATGACTCCGGCTACGGGAGTTCGATTGACGTCAAAATGGCAGGCATTCCGGATAGTAATCATAGCCCAAGGGCTAGGAAGCGTGTCAAAGGCGAGGCTTCCCCAAGTGCTTCTCTCAGGCCAGGGGCTCGCGCAGAGAACCCGTTGAAGGACAATGTGCAGATGGGCCTTATTACTTTGTCTCTGGATCAAGTAGACCCAATAATCGCCAACGAGATAATAGGGAGCGTCCTAAAGCATGGTGCTGGGCTTAAGATCAACTGCACCGTCAACAATCACTCATGATTTTCAAGAGTAGTGTACTTGTATATAGCTCGCATATGCGATCATACTTAGTCCTAAAAAAGATGGAACCGCTATAAATCCCCCTTGAGGCCATTTTGGTAGTGTATCATTTGTTTCTTGTGCCGATGTTGCTTCAATCATGCGCCAAAGATCTGCATCCATAATTCTCGATCAACATCATCGTAGTTCCGGTCCACGAGCTTCGGCAGAGACCCGAGTTCTGCCGCTCCTGTGCCCGACTCAGGAACCCGACTCGGGGCCAAGTGCACCTGATTGGTCATTCAACCCCACTGCTGTGTGTAGAGGGCAACGACAATTATGGGGTCGTTCTTGATGGTATCGCCGGCAGACTACTTCGGACTACGTGCGTTGTCTGCCGCAGTCCAATTTCTCCTATCCATTCATCTTTTCTTGTCAACCAGATACGTACGCGCCAATGTCATCTTTCAGAACGCCCGAGGTGAGCCTCGAGCACGCCTCGACGTCCGGTCTGCGAACGCTGCCCGAATTGGTCAACTTCCATGCCGAAAATAATCCCAAGCACCTATTTGGCCTCCAGGCCGAAGCAAACGAGGCTGGAAACGGCCACAGCTTTGTGCCCTTGAGATATGAGACGCTACAGCGTGCCATCATCCGCTGCCAGGCATGGCTCATGCAACAGACAACCAGTCTTCACCCACCCAAGACTGCAGCCGATGGAAGCGTGAAGAAATGCGCTCCCGTCGCGGTGCTCATGGAAAGCCATGTTGGCTTGGTCATCTGCGTGCTCGCCTGTATGGGCATGGGCGTGCCGGTTGTCCTCCTGTCGGCGCGTCTAAGTGCGCCGTCCGCACGACATCTCATCCGCGAAACGGACGCGAAACTTGCGCTTGTTTCTCCCCGCCTAGTTCCCCTAGCTGCCGAGGCGGTGGGTGCTGAATTTCAGGATGGTAAAGAGATGCCTGATGAAAACATGACGGCGATCTGCTCTGTATCCGGCTACGAGTGATTTCTTGCGGATGAGCCCGCAGAATGCCAGGATCTCACCTTTCGCGCGGCCAATGCGAATCACTACGTTTCCGAAGATGATCGCCAAGTTCTCATCCTACATTCTTCAGGAACTTCAGGTCTTCCAAAACCGATACCTTGCTCCCACAAGTACTTTCTGGGCTACGCCACATGCCACAGCTTCGCATCGACCGCTGAAGCTCACGGACTGACGGTCTCCACACTACCGTTCTTCCACGTAAGTTGAAGAAGAAATACATGATATTTCCAGTTCCCAAGCTGATCGAAGAGACAGGGATTTGGCTTTGTGTCTGTCTGTCTATCTCTCAACATCGGCAAGACATTCTGCGCCCCTGTACCCTCCACCATCCCCAACGGTGCCAACGTCGCAGCCCTCATAGAGGACTCCCAAGCAAAGGCTCTCTTGACGGTACCATCTATCTTGGAGGAGATTGAGGGCTTGCCAGATGGCAGAGGGCATGACATCCTTCGCAACTTAGATTTCGTGGGCTTCGGCGGAGGCAGACCCAAAGCCTCGGTCGGTGAGAGACTGGAACGTTCGGGTGTCAGGCTTGTCGGCCAATACGGTGCGACGGAAACTGGTCCGATGACACCTTTTTTTGTACCCGGCAAGGGACACGATTGGCGTCGGCTTCGACTGCGTGCTGATATACTCCGGCCGCTTCAAGTCAAGCTTGACCTCATCGATGCAGATGTAGAGAGTGCGCAGGCCGAATCCGAAGATGAACGGTCTTACAGCTACAAGTTAAGCATGAAGCCGTTTGGATGGCAGGAGCGCTTCGAACTGCAGGATATGATCGTGGCACGCACAGAATGCGTCTCCGCTGATGACGTGGGGCAGCTGGATTTCGTGATCGCAGGCCGCAAAGACGACTTGATTTGTCTTGCCACCGGAGAGAAGGTGAGGCCAACGATACTGGAATCCCTACTCAGACGGCATGAAGACGTAAGAGACGCAACTGCATTCGGAGAAGGACAGTTCGAACTCGGTGTCATCGTAGAGACTGTCAGACCTGTCGGCCCCGGCGATATGGACAACTTCAAGGCCTCGATCTGGCCGACAATTGAGGAGGCCGGCCATCAGATGGATGCTCATGCAAGGATTACGTCGCCGACCGCCATTCTCGTTGTCGCTCCCGAAGTCCTCCCGAGATCAGATAAGGGCACCGTTCTCCGGAGCGCAGTCTCAAGGAAGTTTGCCGGCAGTCTACCGCGATCTCGAAGACAGCATGGTTGCACCACCAATCGACCTATCCTCACCTGCATGCAGTATCAAAAATCTCGTTATCAAGCACGTCATGGGGCTGCGCAATGATAGTGATTGGCAAGACGACGATGATTTCTTCGCACGTGGCATGAACAGCCTTCAAGCGACGAGACTACGAAGGCTGCTGACGGCTTCATTGCGCGCAACACATGCCGCTGCTGGGCCTGAGACAGCCAACGTCCTCGCGATCAAAGCGATTAAAGACGATATCGTCTATCGCAACCCTTCTGTGAATAAATTGGTCGAGGCACTGATTCCCAGTTCATCCAAGACAAACGGCGTCCTCACGGAGGCAAAGCTTATTGAACGATTGGCGGACAAGTACTCCGGCAGAGGCGACCTCCAAGAGCAGCGGAAAGCCGTGGTGTTGCTCACGGGCGGCACTGGCAGTCTCGGGTCATTCTTCGTTGGGCGACTCCTTGCGGATGATAACGTGGGCAGTGTCATTTGCTTGAACAGACCTGGGAAAGGAAATCCCACAGAAGCTCAGAAACATGCGGTAACGTCACGAAACGTCTCTGTCGAGGAAGACACGTGGAAGAAGTTGGAAGTTCACCAGACAAACACTGCAGATCAGTGGCTTGGCTTGCCCGAGGTCGACTACTTGGGTCTCGCGGCCAGGGTAACTCACATCGTACATATTGCGTGGCCCATGAACTTCAGAATGGGTCTGCAGTCGTTCGAGGCTTCATTTTCGAGCTTGCGGAACCTCATTCAGCTGGCACGCCAAGCAAGCATTCACCTGACACAAAAGCCAAAGCTATTACTGATATCTTCCATCTCTACGGTGGGGAACTATCCATCGATCAACGGAGAGGCATTGATTCCCGAGGCGTCCGTCGAGGATCAAAGTTGGACGCTAGAGCTCGGTTATGCCAAAGCCAAGTTTGTCTGCGAGAGACTCATCGAACGCACGGCACAAGACCATCCTGATATCGAGGCGGCGGTGATCAGAGTTGGCCAGATTGCTGGCTCTAGCACTGGCTATTGGAACTCTGCTGAGCACTTCGTAGCCGTTTGTGCTTCGTCTCAGAAGCTGGGAAAATTCCCCGACCTGCGTGGGGTAAGTTCAAATTTCAAACTAGGCCGTTTTGCTGGCTTGAAAGTCGGGGTGATTACATATTGCTAATACAAATTGCTAGACCTTGTCGTGGCTGCCGGTTGATTTGGCCGCCGAAGCCCTCGCCGAGATTCTCTTCCATCAAGAGCCGTCCCGTGCAGTATACCACCTCGAGAACCCAGTGCGGCAGAGCTGGGAGGAGGTGGTTAGACTGCTTTCCGAGGAACTGCGGATAAGCAGCTCGTCCATTGTCCCACTCGAAACCTGGCTCAACCTAATGGAGACTATGCCGGGACCAGGTAATCCTGCTGCAGGCCTCGCCCGGTTTCTTCGAGAGGATTTCGTCAAAATGTCATGTGGTCTCGTTGTCCTGGACACCAGTAATTCCCGCAATGCGAGTTCAACCATGGCCAACATGACATCGGTGGGGGAAAGCTCGATTAAGGCATATGTTTCCTACTGGAAGAGTATCAAGCTGTTGTCGTAGATACCTCATGGGCTCTAGTCTCCGCACGTATTGAGATGCATTCAATAGGGGCAAAAGCGTTATTATGTCTTGACCGTACTTAGTTTCCAAAACATCTCAATACTGAGGCTTGACTGGGAAGATTTCTTTTTCTTTTCCGCACCCTCGATACAGTTCTGGCATATTAAGTCTGGCGAGCCATAGACCACCGTCAGGCATGCAGGTTGTTAGGTAACGTTCTGTCTGGCTTAAGTGGCTGCTTAGCACCTCGACATGCTACTTGCCGTTAGACATATAGGCCAGGGTATCACGAAAATAACACCGTAGGTAGCGAGAGAAAGGAGAAGAAGCATTTGCAAGTCTAATTGAACCAAGAATCTAAATTAGGTATAGCCTGCGGTTCATATCCATAGCACCAACCACTGTAAACACTTCTACGTGTCAAGTTGGCCAATACCAATTATTCCAAATATCAGTAACCAATTGAATCGTTCCTTGCGGCGATTAGGGCGTAAGCGTGCATCCTTAGTCCTTGTTGCATGTATTCAGACACTTCTCAAAGACGGCATTACTCCCTTTTCCAAAGAAGCAGTCTTTGCGGTAAAGATCGCACTATAATATGTCAGTTGGAGTTTGCGTTGCAAAGGTAGGGGCATAGCCTATGTACAGCTGTATTCTGGCGAGTTTCGAGACTAGTAGGGCTGGCGAGGGCAATGCCTGCAAAGAGAGCAAGGAAAATGGTCGAAAATTGCATTTTTGTAAGTGTATAGTAGCGTCGGTCAACGAAAGCTTTTGCAACTCGGAAAAGTGGACGAAGAATAAAAGAGATAGTTATGGACAAGTTTGTATATAGAGTGAATAGGTGTATTGGGTGTTGCCTAAGGATTGAGGGATTCATCTTGAATAGGCTTCCTAATGGGACAATATAGTAGCGGTCAACTAAGAATACTTGGTAGGGGGGCCTTTAGGCCCTGATATCCTCGCGTCCAAAGCCAATTGCCAGTTGCCAGTGCTGATGTAATCGGTGCATAAAAACAACGGAAACCCCTTTTCCGTGATGCCAAACCTCTTCTGGCTGTAGTTTGGCTGCCGGATCCAGTCTCTCATCTACGCCAAAGTTATGCAATGTTCTTTTCTGAATCAGTGGCTGAGACAGGCCGGAGATGGTATAGTTGTTGCCAAAAGGGCTGATTCCATGCTCAGAACTGGTTTTCTGAGAAGCTGTGCCTGTTGCCAGTTCTGTTGCCAGAACCCTTCCCGCCGCTGGAAACACACGTATTAACCCCCCCCCCCCCCCCCCCGAGGCTCAACGGCGCCCCGGCAGTGGCCCGGTGCTACGGCCCAATACGGCGGTACAATTGCTCTGCGGGGCCGTGGCACTTCCAGTGGCGCTGTACCCTCTGGCGACTGGCAATTGGCCTTGGCCGCGAGGAGATCAGGGCCTTACATGGCGTCAAGATCCAAAGTCAGTTTAACCTTATTTTTACGTGCATTATAATGGTTATCTTCCTTCTCCACTCAGCCCGCATAATAAATGTTACCATCATTCGCTCCTATGTATTTCCGGCGCTAACCATTCGACTCGCTCAATAAGTAGGAACGAGCAGAGAAGGCCATTGAAGCAATAACGAGCGCCGCCCCAGCCCCCAAAAACCCCGGCCATATCAAAGTCCTCCCTCTCGACCTCAAAGACCTTGAAAGCGTGAAGGAGGCCGCCGCGTCCTTCGCTCAGCAAGAATCGAAACTAGATGTCCTATGGAACAATGTCGGAACTGGCGCACTAGGCGTCGAGGTTGGTGCGCGGACAAAACAGGGCTTTGAAGCTATGGTTGGCATGCTGTTGGTATTCCTTTCACAGGGAATTTGGTTCGAACCGTAGGGTCCTGGGGTGACGAAGTATCAATATCTCTGTATTGATTGATTCTGCGTAAGGAGTAGAAGGGAGATTCCAACCGGAGGTTGGGTGGGTAGTTGTCACGAAACAGGAATGGTATCAGCACTTGTCAAGCATCTTGCCACGTGCTTTCTCACGTGGATATCACACTCTCTTAGTATATAGACTGCTCTCATGTGCTCATTCTAGATGGGTTACTTCAAGCCACTTTAACCCACTTCATATGCCCATTGCTGCGTGCCATAACTCGTGACAGTAGTCGAGGTCTAATTGTACTCCCTCGAGGTGGCCCATGCTCTGCCCTTACTCGCGGTCGAATTGGACTTCCAATCCGACACATGCATTGTATCGCAGCGCAGCTCTTTACACAGCTGTTGATTCCCCAACTCCGTGCAGCCGTCACCACCGCTCCGCGCGGTTCGGTCCGCGTCGTGTGGACCTCTAGCTTTCTGGGCGACGCATCATCGCCCACCAACGGTATCGATTTTAGCACTCTTGAAAAGGGCACCTCGGACCGTACCCGGAACTACGCCGTGTCGAAAATCGGTAACTGGGTGCTGGGCCGCGAGATGGCTACCCGCTATCCCGACATCGTTTCCGTGACGCAGAATCCTGGGAACCTCAAGGCTGGCTCATACGCTGGCACGCCCACCTTGGCCATGTTCTTCATCAACCCCTTACTCCACGACCCCAAGTTTGGCGGATATACGGAGCTCTTCGCGGGCCTGTCGCCCGAGGTTTCTCTCAAGAATAATGGCGCGTATGTCATCCCTTGGGGACGCATGCACCCAGACTCGGACTGCCCAAGGAAGGACATTATCAATGCGTTGCAGCCTGAAGCCGATGGCGGTTTAGGGTACACTGCGAAGTTTTGGGACTGGTGTGAGGAACAGTGGAAGCCATTTGCTTGAGTTCCCCAGGGTGCTTCACTATCTAACGCATGTAGCATAGATGGAGCCGTTTTGGTGGCACTCATAATTGCTTCGAGTTAATTCTACTTTCCGCTCGTTAGAGAATGCGGGTGCATTGCCCTCGCGACGCGATGTTCATACTTAAACCTAGATGCACTGAACCAAACTGTAGTCTCTAGTTAAACTTCCCTTGCTTCCTTGAATATCAGCTTCAGAGAAAATGAATACTAGGATTAACTGTCTTACTTGTAATGCTTCAGAAAACGGCTCTCGTAACCCACCCTCATAATTATCTCGTAGGCCGCACCCGCCAAACGTCAAAAAAAAAAAAAAAAACATACAACACCAGGTGTTCGCTGATCGTCACCGACTCAACTACTAGTCCGGCCCTCATTAGCTTGTCTATGGGAGAGCGGACGGGATCCCGAATTTTCCAATGGGTATGGTCGTATATGATTGTTCGAGCAGGAAAGGGCGATCTTGTAGCTGTTGTAAACGGAACACTACCCTTACTTTGCAACCACGACTTGAGGTTGCAGCGACTCTGTCCGTGCTACATGGACGTCAGAAACTATATCTCAATGACATAAAATCGGCCCAAGGAGACCTTTTATCATCCCATAGGGACTTTAACTGTTGCTGCCTTGTCATAACGACCGTAGCCTTGTGGTGGGGTTGGATACAAAGAGTAGTGACAATGAAGCCAATCAAAGTCACATATCAAAATTGTTGTTGTTGTTGTTCTATTTAACGCCGTAGCGGCAAGGGCGCAGCCACCCTTGCGGCAGACCTCCCGAAGGGTATATGGCGTGGAGGGCCGTAGGCTCGAGCTATATACTCTATAGTACACGCCTCTTCCTAACGTCCTCCAAATCTTGCCCGTGAGCTACTGTCTGTTCTATCCGTCCCTAGTTCCCGCTGGTTCCCTGGTTCCGTTGTTACCGTCTGTCCCTCTAGGAGGAGAAATTCGTCAGTCGGGCCTAGGTCAAGACCTAGTCCTTAGTACCGCGGGCAGATCTTCTGAAATCACATATCAAAATGCAAGAGAACTATTCGTATCTGGTTACATGACGGTTCTGGAAGTTGTCTAACAAGAATGTTTTGTTTCTGGACTCTTTCACACGCCTCTCCTCTAGGCCATGTCTCCAAAAGGACCCATCACGACCTGCTCAGAATTGATGCGTTGTCTGTTCTTAGACATCACCCCCCCTGCATCATTCAGCTGGCCGGGATGGAAGACGGCAAATGCGACCATGACAGAAAACATCAAGAACGAGTCAAAGATGTACATCATGGCTTCATGCTGGTTGACGAACCCGTACCAGCCCTCTGCAAATTCCGCCACCCTCACCAGATTGCGCACCCAGATAGCCACCACCGAGACGATCAGAGTCCAGACGTAACGCCTCCAATGCTGAACATAAATCGTCTCCCTTTGAGTAGCCCGCTGAAAGCGCATGACGAGAGCAAAGTAGATGACCAAGACGAAGAGCTGGAAAAGTAGACCACCTAGGACTACGTGGCCTCCAATCTCCATAAACTTTCGGTTTGCAATCACTTGTACGAGTGAACCGCCAATTTGTGTGCAGAAGGCGATGATGTCCGTCAGAATGAAGACACTAGTCGGGCTACACTTCCGTCTTTTGTGGCCGAGCAAAGCTTCTTTCAGGCGTCCGAGGTTGACGTATATCGTCGCCGAGATGAATACAGGCGCGACGAGAATGAGCATGAGCTGTAACATGAATGGCTTAGGGGACAGTCGCGCTGAGCCTGCCCAAGCGCGTCCCAAGTGTCCAAATGTGTCACCTGTGGAGGACGTCAGCGTTTCTATCTTTTCTTAGAAGATAAAGATTCGGGGGAAATAGGGAATTCAAGCAAGCAAAAGCTTCAGTACTTACATATTCCACCGAGTACCATCGGCATGAAATGTTTTGTCTTGTATTTGCGAATCAACCAAATGTGATATGCAGAGATACCAGCGAAAAGAAACAAGAAAATGACGCCTGCGGCTTTGGAAGGCGTGTAAGGATAAAAGAGGACATTTCCATCCTCGAAATGAACGAGACCCATCTTGGACCTTAGATCATCGGTTGGGGCCAAGGAGATCTTTGATCAACAGTGGAAATCTCTCTAGACAAACGAGGTCTCTTTTGAAATCGGGGTTACCGAGACAAACTGACGCTGTAAATACTGTGAGAAAAAAAGTTTCACTTACAGTACTTGATTGTGACATTGATCAGTATGGCTCACAAGTTATTTAAGCGTCGCGCAAGAAACGCAGAGTCGTGCTTGAATGTAAGTGCGCTTCAACAGGAGCCAATCGCTGAATTTTCGTGTTGTCGTGTTCTCATACGGCCCCACACGACTTCGCCGCACTCGCATTCTAGCTCATAGTTTCACTCTGGCGGGGCATTCATTCTAGCACGCTTAAATTGTGATGGCTCCTAGCGGAATCTCTGAACTTATATAAACCCAGCGTGACCTCCTCCCCCCAAGAGCCAGCCCGCGGACCTCTCCTTGTACAGACTTCGGCCTGCGCCAGCCAACGAGGCGCAAATGTTATCTTTGCGCATAGACCTGATGAAGCACTAGGTTGTGCCGGTAGCGACTCCATTTCGAGTGGACGTAGGCCAGATTAGCCTGCTTAAGGGCAGTAGATGTCGCCGCTGCAGCAGTCATAGGTGTTGGCGTTGGCATTGCACTGTTAGACAAATCATGTCAGCATCGAACTACACCATGCCACTGATAATGATGAGTAGTTTGCCTTACTCTAGCTTTGAAGACTTTCAACGGGTCTTCGTGCATAGCCTTGTCTTCCTCACACTACTCCTTGGTCAGTTTCGCAAAGCAGAGACGAGATTACATGGTAATTTGACGTCTTCATTACTCACCTTGTTTCGGTTACAGTCTCCAGGAGCTGCCTTGCAGTAGGTGAATGGCGAAGCACCTTGCAAGAGAACTCCGAAGGCAAGAAGGATGACTGAGTGAGCCTGCATGGTGATGGTTGACTTAGTTGCGATAGATGAATAGGGGAGGGGATATGAGTGAGTAAGAGTCGAATCGGGTGATGATGGGGAATGAAACCAAAAGCAACTGAGGAGTGAGCTATGGTTATATATACAAAAGGATGCGAGTATCACGCGTTTAGCTACCATCTTCGAGTCTTCTAAGTTTATAAAGATGTGGGTAATTTAATTTACTTACAGAATCCGATTGCGAGTTAAAACATTAGCAGCTTCTTTCGAGTAAGGTTGACTCAAGAGATTCCGCCACATCCGATTACGACATTTCTGCTACTACGACACGATTCATGCCGTAAGTTCTCGAAGTGATAATCACATTAGCGGTGTGACACCCGCCGTTGCTGTCCATAATTCAACAGGCGTAAGGTGAAGGCTCTTAACAGTTATAGGTCGGTGAGTTCAGATAACATGCCCTTGGTAATACATTGTCTAAGCACAGTCATCACCATTCATGAAGCACCGTCTAGATTCTTGACAGCGCTAGTATAACTGTCGTATGATATGAATCCGCTATCGTAACTTCAACTAGATCTCAGTCTTGCCTTGCAAATCTTGTGCTTCTCCCCGCCTCGTTCACTCCCTAAACTTCCCCTTAAGCTCGATTTTGCTGAGGCAAACTGCGCGAAATGGAAGGAGTCATGCATACATGTTCTTTTCGGAACTTGACTTTCCGAAAGTCTCGTGGGAATAACCAACCCTCTGTCGGTCTCGGTTTTCGGAATACCTATACATGGCACAGATCCTAGTGGGCTTTCTCGTATACCGCATTGTGGATATCATATCAGATGCTGATCTTTTTAAGCTTCCATTTTGTAATGCCTGCAAGTCTTCACCATGGTAGACTCACATTGCTGAACCAAACCGTTCCCCGAGACCGTCGAATACATGTTTCACAGGCCGTCACGTTGTAGACTATATTCACTTGATGCGATGGACTGGCAAGTGAGGAATACAATTTTAGTGTCTTTACTATACCTTTAATTCGTTGTCTGGATCTCTCACATGTAGTTAATGGGCATTTGTTATATATTGCGTATGAGTTGAAATATTAGCTTTTCATTTCTTTCAAAAATCCCCCCATCCGCATCCCAACTTGCTGAGTTGACTTTCTTGCCACGAGTCCATTCAATCGCACCCCAGCTTCTCATTCAAGTCTCCAGGCGTCTGGCTCTGGGTTCTTGTGAAAGATAACTGGGCGAAGAGAGAATTTGGGAACTTGAAGCTTACGCAGTGCGAATTTGACGATAACGGCCGAAGAATCATCTTTTCACATGTGCCCATGAGATTTCGGCGGTACCTCAGAAGAAGACAAGACTTCGGCGGTATATCCGGAAACAAGATGATATTAGAGTCAAGCCCTACCGCAGGTAGTGATCCTAGCTGTCGCGTGGCTACAGGAACGTTGGGATATCCGGGACGTGCCGCGCTTTGGTGATTATAAGTCCTGAACTGATTCTGAGAAAAGTCTTGATTATTGTTGCTAACAGCAATAGAGACTTAGAGAAACGATTTTCTCTCAGCACCCACTAGCGTCGCTGCTGTCGAAAGCCGGTGATGCAGGTTTGTTTGTTTGTTTGTTTTATATTTAACGCCATGGCGGCAAGGGCGCAGCCGCCCTTGCGGCAGACCTCCCGGAGGGTATGTGGCGTGGAGGGTCGCAGGCTCTAGCTATATACTATATAGTACACGCCGTATCCTGACGTCCTCCAAGTCTTGCTCGTGAGCTACTATGTGTTCTATCCATCCCTAGTTCCCACTGGTGCCCTAGTTCCGTTATAACCCCGGTGATGCAGGTACAGCCCAACGACTGGAGGTTATTGCGTGACTTAACGCTCCCATTTGAAGTCAGCAACCAAATAGTAGCCACGACGTAGGATAGAAAAACTCTAGAATGTGCATATAATTCTCTAGACGGACGATGTAATTGAACTCGCCGAAGTAGCCGCTCAATCGCCGGAGAACCATCACAAAGACCAACGGTACTGCACTTGATTAGGGATGGAAATGTTCGAATTTCAAATGTAGTAGTGAAACATACATTCCCCCGTTTTGGGTGTATCAAGGAGACGACATCTAATGATGCCGAGGAATCCTTGGTTAAGAGGAATTTCGTCGCGAACTAGAAGCTGCGAACGCAAGCCCCGATTTTGTGATTCGCGGCCGTCGAGACCCGCTTAGCCCGTGATCACCGAGAGGCCAACGCCGATGGACCCATTGTACCCTCGATTATGGCCCCACAACGGGCCGGTGTGCGGGGCACGGTCACTGTCTGCGGCGCAGCCATCTGATCCGCCTACTGGCAGCCCGAAACCTACAAGCCTGCCGGAAGGGGACCAGAATCCGAAAGGCTACAGTTTGTGAGACTAAAAGCACTAATGACAACGATTGTATGAAGCACGACGGCTCCGGTTGCCCGCGCGATGCCGCAGACGAGAGGCCCCATCAACTGCCTCACTGCGCCCGACTTGCCGGACCATGAAGACATCCGTTCGGGCGACGACGATGATGATCAGAATACCTTGAGAGTCCGAGACCTTTCAATCAGGCTTCATTACTTTCAATTCATCTTAAATCTCAATGATGTTGAACATGAAGATTCGACGAAATAGATGCAACCACTCCACCGGAGATCCCACCGGGTGGCCCACCGGAGATTTGCATTTTGCCGTCTAGGCGTGAGGATGCCTTTGTGACGATGACATATCGGTACTCCCTCGCGAATAAAGTGTCTGCGGTTTGATTTAAGTCGATAATTGCGGTAAATGAGGAGATGAACATGTCCTCATCTCGGTGGTCAGAAAGGATTATAGGAGGATCACCGTGATTTGTCTCGCACCTGGTTGTACACTAAAGCTCACCAAGACACTTCACTCCAATCTATCTTGCAAATAAGGGGCTTCTTCTTATATCATCATGTTCATCTACTTCTTGTTTTTCCAGTTGTTGGCTTGGACTTTTGCCCAGACCAACTTCACCAACCCCATCATCTGGCAAGACCTCCCAGACATCGATCTAATCCTCCACGGCGATGCATACTACTACTCGGCCTCGACCTTTCACTTCTCACCCGGAGCAGTGATAGCCCGCTCCTACGACCTCGTCAACTGGGAATACCTCTCCCACTCGGTCCCGAGTCTCGACTTTGAGACCACCGAGGGCTTCGACCTCGTATCCGGGCCCGGACAGCGCTACAACCAGGGCATTTTCGCATCCTACTTCAACTACCGCAAGAGCACCGACACATTCTATTGGGGAGGGTGCATTGTAGGCGACTGGAAGACATTGAACAACATATTGATGGTCCCGGATGACGGGTGGCATACAGTCAACAAGGGGGACGAGATCGAAGGTGTTGAGGTCAGCGGGACCACAATCTGGTTGCGTCTTGAGGTTGGCGTCAACTCGCTTTATGACCAGGAGGGACGATTCTCTTTCAGCACTGATGGTGTCAACTTTGAGTCTCTTGGTGAGCCACATCAGGAGATTGATCGGGGGTTCGTCTACTTCATGGGATATCGGTACGGCGTCTTCAACTATGCCACACTTGCTCGAGGCGGTGCTGTCACGATCAAATCTCTTAGCATCCGCGAGTAGTAGACTATTTTCGAACTCTAGATTGTAGTTCAGAAGCGCCTTAAACGAAGCTTGATGGGAGGTCGAACAGTGCTCACTCGAAACAGATTGATATCTGGAGTTCTCTGACTTACTCACGGTGCGCACCTCCCGGATTATGAGCCTCGATATTTGCCAATTATTACTTTTGATTGATGAACCTCAAGGCGTCAACGATTGAAACAACATGACCGACACTCTAATAAGGCCGTTCCATTCATTTGCCATGCAAGAATTACTCTCTTGTCTCATAGACACAATAGCAAAGGGATATATGACAACCCAGGTCAGATGAAGAGAATTTCGCCCTAGCCAAACACGTGCCAGATTTCGTAAACATTCGCAAGCACGCAAGTTACCTGAACCGGCCTTGATGTGCGGGATTCAGGGGAAATCTTTCAAGCGATCCGCGTCAGATATCTGACCATATGGCGTTCCTCTTTACAATTCAGGCCTAGCCGTGCCGGACACCCGGAAAGACATACGCGTCCGGGGGCGGAGAAGGGAGATCCGTGAACCACCCCCTAAAAGCCCGCCGCGCCGTCCGATCCGGCCCCGCCTCCTGCGCCACTACCTACGCCAGAAAACTCCTCTCTTTGCCGCGGGCGCGTGTGTGTATGGTGAGCCTCAGCCGAAGGGATCCTGAGACTTGTATTCGTAGAAAGCCCCTAATCCCTACATGCAAGCTTGACCACTTCTCGATGTTCGAGAAAAGTCCTGTCTGGACTCTCCTGGACGGTGTCTGACCTCCGTTGTGGAACACGCTTCGGCCCATGGTCCAGAAGTCCAGAACCTACAGAGATTCCTCGTCCTCCGCTCCGCCCGCGCGTCGCCTCCCGAGTCCCGCCAAGGAAAAGGAAGAAGAAGAAAAAAATCGAACCCCAAAGTTTGCGTCTCCAAGTAATCCACATCGGCATTTGATCCCTCGATGCATAGCGGTAGGAAACCCACCATATGGCCAGATTACCTACATGATACATCGGCCGAGTCCCCTGGCCGAACCGTTTACGGTGGGCTATCGTTACACCGGCCATTAAATCAATACACCAAGCTCAGGGGACAGGCGGCAGCAGTGCAGACGGCAGAGGACGGATAACCTAGGGCCAAGCTTTTCTCGGTCCGTCGATGGCGCCCAAACAGCCTGCAGCGGTCAACGGTCAACCACACCACCTGCACTCTACCTGCCACTGAATGAGCCGCATCCTCCCATCCGCTGCCTGCATAGCGAGCATGGCGTCACGGAACCGAAAAGGGAACCAGGATAATACCACCAAGATTCCCGAATATCGAAACCCATATTGCGATCTCTCAATCCCACCGGGTAGAGGGCCCGATGTTTGATAGAGAGTATCCGTAGCGCAAAGCAGGCCTGCCGTAAAGTAGCCGGATGAAACATTGATTGATAGTGACGGTCGAAAGTTCGGTGCATCAACGAAAAGAATCCCCGCCAATGGGAATACGTCCCAGCGGGAAACCCAACGCAACCCATTCAGGCCCACCAAGCTGGGGCCCGGTTGGGAAATGGGGGGGGGCATATCGCTGGTTAATTGGGAGGTGGGTAATCTATCACAAACGTCTCCGGAAGAGCCGCCGACGGGAATGTCGCAAGATCGTCGTTCACAGATTCGTTGAACTAATGGACACATATTGCAATTTGCAGGCCAGGCCACCGCCACCCTTCCGTTTCGACCCGATCAATATGGACAAATGGTGATAGCTTTGGACATATGCACAAAACGTCGGACTTGGAATTCGTAGAGTCGTCTACTTACCTATGTAATAGGTATTCCATCCCCATCTCTACGGAGTACGGATACGGATACCTCGCAAAAAGCTCCGCGTATGCGAGTCAATCATCAAGCTGCGAGTGGATCACCCCTAAAACCACATCACCCAAATCCACACAACAATCTCGTCAATCTGGGCCCAAATACTTCCTTTGTACGGAATTCCCGCCGTAAATACCCATCTCCCCTCCGTAACGGCGAAATCAGTACCGTTTAACCCGGGAGGCCCTCGGGCAAGGGGGCTCGTTAATTCGAATAAAGTTATAGCGGAGGAACAAAGAACAAATGAACAACCCCAGTTACCACCCCCACCGTGGCACCAGGTAAATTAGACAAGGACCCCCAGCGCGAATGATCAATTTCTTCCCCGATTCCCCGATCGTCATTCAGAACCACCCAATTTCACCTTTACCGTTTGATTAGTCTCAAAAACGGTGGATCGAGTTCACCTGGGGACGCGCAAGCACCCCCCGCGGTGAGCCAATATGGGTGGTGCTATTCGGCGGAGACTCTGCCGAGTCGGGACCGGGTCGTCCTTCACGCTGCAGGCATATCACTGTGTACGGTCTTAGACATGAGGCTCAACTTGCTAGTTGAGTGAGACTGCAGCATGCGTGGTTTGACGATATCAAAGATCACCAAAAGTCGATTCACAAGCCAGATTAGAATCCTCGTCTTCAAAAATATGTGTACTCATGGGTATATTGATCCCATTATCAGCGAAAGCTTCCCCACCTCTACCTCTAGGGCAGTTAAAAGGCCAGAATTACAAAGTTGGCTAGACCCCAGAATGTCCTCCAGCATTGTGGAAGTGAAAGCGAAAGAAGCCAAGGGATCCAGAAGTGATGATCTCCAAGCCACGAATAACGATACGCCGCCCATTGCCTTTGCCCACCGGAACGCCTTACTGTGCAGTTTTGAGGTTTTCTCGTCCAATTTACCCTTTGGCCGTTGTATGTCCGAACGAAATGCAAAGCTTCATGTAGTCTCTCGCTCATCTACCCCTTTCTTTGACTCGTCATTATGATTCAGGCCACGTCATCTTAGATGACCAGTCCTTTGCCGATGCCCTGGACCTGGAATCCAAGTTTCTCAAGGTCAGGAACAGAGACGACGTTGCGTCCATCGAGCACAAGACGAGGGCGCTTCATGACTGAGGCTGCCCACTCCCAATCGACTGGGTCGCCGAGGTCTTCGTTGGCGGCATCGAAGTTGCAACCCTTGCAGCCTTCTTGGCACTCAGCCTCGGCCTTCATGCGCTTCAACGGATCTGTGTGCGTGTTGCTGCTGGTGCGAGAGACAAACTTCTCAAGTTCGACAATGTCCATCTCGGATAGAGACTCCTTGATGAAAGCCTTGGCCTCTTCGCGAGAAGCCTCGGGGCTGCTCCACACAGATGAGCGACGAGCAGTAGTCTGAGCCTGCTTCGGGTAACGGAAGTGGTACCAGGGCGTAAGGATGCAGATAGCGCTCGAGCCGTGGACGGTGTCCCTCCAGTTGGTGTGGACCTTGACACGCTCAACAACACGCTCGTCTGGGATAGACTGGCGAACCTCCTCCATCACCTCGACAGGGTCACAACCAGGGTCAAAGATGGCAATTTCGTTGGGCATCTCGTGAGCCAGCTCCGTGATGATGTGCACCGCAATACTGTTGCGGGTATCATTGGTGTTCTCCTTAAAGGCGAATCCGAGGATGGCCACCTTCTTGCGGCGTAAGTTACCATTGAGAGCGCGGTGTACCTTTTGCGCAAAACGCTCACGCTGGTACTTGTTGATATCGAGGACACCCATCCAGTAGTCGGCGACAGTGTCCAAGTGGAGAGTACGGGCCATGTAGGCCAAGTTGAGGATATCCTTCTCGAAGCAAGAACCGCCGAATCCAACACCTGCGTGAAGGAACTTCTTGCCCAGGCGAGTGTCCGCGCCGATACCTTGGCTAATCTCCTGTACGTCGGCACCAAGCTCCTCGCAGAGAGCACTGATGCTGTTGATGCTGCTGATACGCTGAGCCAGCATGGCGTTGGCGACCAGCTTGGTCAACTCGCTGGACCAAGTGTTGACGGTCAGAATCTTCTGTTCCGGAACCCAGGCAGCGTACACGCTCTTGAGGGCATTGGCGGCTCGAATGCCAGCAGGAGTGGTGGAGCTGCCGATCAGAATACGATCGGGGTGCATAAGATCGCGCACGGCGGTTCCCTCAGCGAGGAACTCAGGGTTGGAGACAATCTCGAACTCGGCGTCGGGTTGGTACTGGGCCATCTGTTCAGGTGTTAGTCTCGGTTCATTTCTACCGAAAGACGGACCACGTCGTGATCGTCCAATCTTTTGTGACTAAGAAACTCACAATTTCGCGGATCATGCGAGCAGTGCCCGTTGGTACCGTGCTCTTCTCAACAATGACAGCACCATCCTTCGCATACTTGGCGACGGTCTCAGACGCTCCTTCCAGAGCGCTCAGGTCCGCGGTGTAGCCAGCACCGAGTCCGTAGGTCTTGGTGGGCGTGTTGACGCAAATGAGGACAATGTCTGCCTCACCGATGCATCGCTGGACGTCGGTTGTGAAGGTAAGGTTGGGCTTGCGAGGAGCAATCTTCACAGAGTTGCTAACTGAAGGGAGGAAGGCTGTCGCCTCATTGGCGCCATCACGAGAGATGCGGACGATCTTGGGAAGGCCGGCTTCGTGGATAGGGAGATGGGGAGAGTTCCATGCGGCGATACGGTCGGCGTTGAGGTCCACGACGTTGACGGTAAGGTCGGGGTTGTGAAGTGCGATCAGAGCCGCAGTTGGGCCACCTGCAACGATTTGTTAGTTCCATTTTTGATGCTATCGAATACGAGGTCTGTATGAGTCCGAGGTTGACGACAGTGCTTGCGTCATATTTAATCATTGACACTCGCAGCATTCAACGATATAGAGTTCGTGACGCCTGCCAGCTAATTCGAATCTGCAGCTAATAAAGCCGTTCAAGCCTTGAAAAGCATAGGCTAAACAAGGGTGAAGGTTGGACAAGAGTCATGACCACGGCGGCGGGGGAGAATTCGATGCCGATAGTCATCGCGAAAGTTTCACTTACCAACAAAGCCAGCACCAACGAAGCAAACATTCTTGACGTTCAATGGCTCAAGAGGCTCGAGATCCGAGGCATCCAGCGATTCGTGGTGCTTCAGCTCGGGGCTGCGAGGTCTTGAGGCAGGAGGAGACGAGTTTGGCGTTCCGGTGCCAGAAGCGGCATCTGAGTGGCCTGCGCTGAGAGCCGGTGATTGGGAAACCATGCTGTCGACGGTTGAGGATGAGTCTGCGGTGATGAGATTCGAACGAGCGAAGCTTGCAGCCATCGATTAAATGCTCTGTTGACGGACAGAGCTAACGAGGACGGGCGAGTGACAAAAGGGTTGACGTCTTTTTCTGTTCAAGAGATGAAGGGCCTGGGGTATTTGTAGAATAGGCAAGGCCGGTGGGATGTCGACGGGTTCCGAGGAGGAAAAGCCAAAAAGAGTCAAGTCGGTACTCTTGATGAGGGAAATGGAGATTGGATTTGCAGAAAGCGAGCGGTGCACACAAGTTGTAGGTAGGTGCTGGTGATCTTGTTGGCAAGTCGGAGCGACGAGTGCGGACCTTTTGAATGTACACGAATTGGAGGTTGAGTGTGGTAAATGGAGGGCACTCTAAAGATCGGACGGAGGCCGAGAGTCGTGGAAATTGACGGGTCTGAGAAGTGACTGATAATCGAAAATGGGTTTCTCAAAAGCCCAAAGCTGAATTCCCTTGCGTTGCTTGGCAAGTCGGTTTCTGCTTCCTTTTTCTGCGGTTTGTCTGGTGAATGAACAGCGAGACAAATCGAGTCGAGTCGTACTTCTGGAGCTCAGAAATACAAATTGGCAGGATCGGAAAGGTGGGTGCGGGTGACGGCGTAGACGTAGGACGAACGACGTACGTGGGAGCGAAAGTGGGATTGGACAGGTGCACTAACGCTCAACCCGGCTTCACATGGAATTGGCGCCCGTTGTAAGAGGTGGTCGATGAGGTTCGGTGATGTGTCCCAGACAGGTGAATCGAGAAAAGAGGTAAGGGAGGTGAAGAGAAGAGGTATGGGTTGGAGGGTGGGAGAACTGGTGTAGTTTAATGTGAAGAAGTTGGGCAGGCGTGGAGCGAGCGGCAGGTTTATTCAAACCCGGGATTCATCAATCTCCAACGAAGGTGAGGGCAAAGCGCACGAATACAGCAACAGTACGGATAATGGCTGGACGGAAGATTTCAAAGTGGGAAATACGGCGGGTAATGCACAGGGGCTCTTTCTTGTTATATCCTCCAGGGTCTTGGCCCTTTTTCTCGTTGCTCCCCTCCTTCTCCGTCGACGGTGCCGTCCGAGAGTTGTGGACTGTGAGCTGTGGACCACAGAGCTGGACAGTCGGGATAGGGGATGGGTGATGGACGATGCGTGATGGGATGGGTTGGGATGGGACGTGGTGCGTGGATAGGATGGGATGGGATGGAGTCTTGGAGATGGGCGATGCGGGACCTCAATGTGGATTGGATGGGAGCATGGCATGGAGAGGAAGATAGGCATGGCATGGGCATCGCATCCTTGTCCATAGAGGGCCAGAGGGAACCAGCAATTCCCATCCATCCCGGCTGCCGTTGCTACTACTCCGTCGCTGCTCTGCTTTGCTGCCGCTATCCTATCCTTACCGGTTTTCGTGCCAGCAAGTACGAATACAAAGTCGGAGCAGCAAGAGCAAGGACCAGGAGGTACCGAAGAAAAGGGCACCCAGGACTTTACTCCGTAGAAGCAGGAGAGGAGCGAGACCAGGACCGGGACCAGGTACTTGGCTTTCCTAGAATAGCGTAGTGAATGGACGTGTGTAGGCAAGGTACTTGGGTCCGTCTGAGAGGTACTAAACGGTACGCACGGAGTATTGTCAAGGAATACTCTTTCGCTTCTTACTGAGCCTGACGTGTTTTGGCTACCTTGCTTGCGTATTCAATGTTCGGATAGCTGGTGGCAGAGATATTGGACGATTAACGACGGCAGTGGAAGCAGAAAAGAAAGCAAAAGCCAGATGCAGGCACACAAGGGAGTGGGTGACTTAGTTTGTTCATGTTGTTCGCTGTCGCTGGATTTTCGCCTTGGAGACTTCTTGGCCTTATCGTACGGCAATGTTTCCACCGCTCGAAGCTTGGCATTCGGTACGGCAGCCGTGTCGAATTCCAAGACTCTGCAGGTTGCAGCGGCCGGAGTCCTCCTGCAACGTACTGTGTACCCGTAGACGGCTGGATCGAATGGCGGCTCAGGTCTGGCCAGGGAGAAGAGGAAGCCAGCCGTGCATAGAAAGGTACGTTGTCCTGTATGGAGTGCTCCTATTACCATGTTTGCTTTTCTGCAAGAAGGCGTCGTACGCACGCTGTACCATCTCCGTACGCAGTCCCCCGGATACTTGCGGCTGCTGCAGGCGTGGCGGGATGCCCCGGACAGTTGCAGGCTTGCAGCATCACGGACAATGGGATGGCGTGGAAGGGATGCGTGTCCTCCGTTTTGGAAAGTCGAGGGCGGCCGGCCTGAGTGTAGGACGAGCGACGGGAAGGTCTTGGCCCGGTCCCTGAACTCTCGGTGTCAGTAGGGTCCCCTGTCTGAGCCGTCTTTGGTTTTTGGGTTTTTACATAGTAGACTCTGCCTCTGGTTCTTGAGTCTAGAGTCTGGATTGGTGAAATTATGAGTGATGGGCAGGAAACATTGCCCGATGGGAGGGTTCCAAGCCTTTGCTGTGGTATTTCTTTGCATTGCTGATGCTCTTGATGCTGCAAGCTTGCTGGCAAAGTGGGTTTGCGGTGTCAGCGCAATGTGATCTGGCTAGCTGATGCTTTACATTGACTAATGACAAGTCTCTCATTACGCGGTCCCTCGGAGGAAGTACTTCGTACGGATATACCCAGGAAGTGAACGGGGAGAAAAGTGAAAGAAAGCCAAAACGGAGGGCCCCAAAGACAGCCCGTTTTCTGATACTGTCTCCCTTCAGCGCTGTGAGGTACATCGAATCGGTGCTAGTTTTTAGTGGTAAGATGAAGTACCTCGGTGGCTGGATGATCGGGGCCATCTGGTGTGCCGAGGGGGCCACCGGGGGGGGGGGGGGGGGGCTATGTACTTGGTGACTTGTAACTTGGAGATTGGAGAAGCAGAGAAAGATTGGGTAAGAAGTACCTCCTTCGTACACTCCATATTCGTTCCTTAGTAGAGTGACTAAGGTAAGCCGCAAGCGCAGATAAAGGTGAAATTGAGTGGCCGTTACGGATACATCAGGAGGGGCCCCCGTAGTTGCTTGGCAGACGGAATACGTAGCGACGTATTCTGGATGCCTTCCTCTCTTTTGCCTTTAGGTTCTGTCTGTTCTTCCCTTCTCTCAAGCCTCAAGTGACAAGACTACAAGGCAGCACTTTCCCCCAGGTGCCACTGCCATATCATTGTCCGAGTGTTGACCGTCTGTTCCTACCGTTCCTCTCCGTTCTTTGGGACCGTAGGACCTCTGGAAGTCACCTTCCAGATGACCCCTGCCACAGAGAGCTCGGAACGACAGGAGCAGAGACTCACTACCGGGTCCCAACTGCTGCACTAGCACGGCACCGCATGGCAGGCATGGCAAGCGTGGCAGGCATGCCAGCAAGGGACCTGAATCTGTCGTAGCCTCACTTGCCCGCTGGCCTGTCAGCTTGGAGTCTGTGACATCATCTCGAACGGCACCGCAGCCCGGTGTTCCTGGACTTTGTCGATTGTGGAAGCTGCTCTTGCCGGTAATGTCTTTTTGCAGATACCGCGGTGCATGCTACCCGAGCAGTTTCCAACTTGTTCGTTATCGAGATGTATGAAGCAACAGGGCAGGGAGGGAGAGAAGAAATTACGACAACTCAGGCAACCACAGGCAAGACAGGTCTAGAATCTTTGGATCATCTCGGAGGCAGCTCCTTCAAGTTTAAAGCGTCTCCAAGACTCCAACAGATTCACCCCACTCTGTCAGGTCAGTCTTACTGTCTACCTTGTCACACTTGTCAATAGATGTCTGCTATTCTGCTTTCTTTTCCTCGTTCCATTGCTTCACCTTCCGCCAGCCTCCGAGATGGCGTGCGCGCATGTGCTGGCGGTACCGTGGCGGCGCTTCCACTGCCCTTGGTTCGGTTTGGCTAAATGCTTAGCAACAAATGGCCACAATGTTCCTCTCGAGTCTCCGTCGGGAAGTACCAGCGCCCATCACTCCACTCTGTGCGCCTGAGGTACTTGATCCCGGAATTTCACAATTCTGCGAACCCGCACGGTTAATGAACAGACTCCACCCGCCTGTCCAGAGTCAGCGACACAGCGGGGAGTGCACGCCTACGCGACCAAAGGCCCATCCGAAGTGTCGACTTTCCGCCCAGCCGGCGCGTGGCTCGTCTGTCAGACTATAACGAACGAGGTCTTTCGGAATACATGTCTATTGAGATTACTGACCGACTCTGACTCAGCACTCCTTGCGTCCAACAAGAGGCATAGACCCTCCCACCAGCGATCGTCATCTGCCACAACCACCCCGGCGGAACGCATTCAAGAAATGGACTCCAACTTGCGCTTGGCTTGCTCGTCGTCAGATACAGCGCACATCCACCCTGTTACGCGACGGGCAAGGAAATCGACAAAGATACCCCCAATAGTGGCCCCATTTCTCAATGAACATGGGCGTCTCCATCGCCTCAGGATTAAGGTAGGAGACTAGGATCGGTTTGACATACTCGCTGATCGCCATCGTCCGTTTGCTCTGTCGTTTTACCCATACAACTTCCCGAGGGGTCACCCCGACCCTGTCTGCCGTCTCTTCACCTCGCAAAGGGGCATGCTGAGCCACTCTGGCTGAGCCATTCTGCGTCTTCCGCCAGCCATGCGATACTATTTCCGCTGGCGACTCAGGCCACTCTCCGGGGCGAGCACTTGGGTGCCGCTGTTACAGAGGACAGAACGCATGGGCCCCAAGCTTTCGTAGGCATGCTGCAGCGCCTGGACCGGATTCGAAGATGACAACTGCCCGAGACACCGCTCGCGCGAATCCCTCTACGCCCTTTTTCTCTTCCACCCCTCCTCCAAGCTCCCGCTCTCCTCCTTCATCGGAGTGGCGGAATTCAGGAGATGAGGACGGGAAAAGCACATTGGCCACAGAATACCGCCGAGACTGGGACTTCCTAGAGCCTAGCGGTTCCCCAAGCTGATCGCCTCACCATGTCAACCCGTTGGCTTCCAATGACCAGCTGCCAAAGACAGCTTCGGGCTTGCACATCAACAGGGAGCACATGCAATCATCCAATAGCCGCCATGGGCTAGACACATCGAGAGGCAAACATTTATCAGAGGCTCCTTAAGCTCAAATGTCTCGCACAAATGACCGCGGCGCGACATTAACACTCAAGAGTCTGGTGCAACAGCAAATTAGGTTCCTCCTACAATATGCACCATGCAGGGCTGGAGCAGAGAAAAGACTCGCGGACTAGGAGTCGCGATCTTCAGGCACAGACGGACGCACGAGACACTTTTCCATCATTGGCCAAGCCACTTCGTTGGAACAATTGCCACGAGGGGGACCGCCACACCTCAAATGAAGCCTGCCGTTGGCTTAAGACTCTCGCTCTTGTCCCACAATGTGACGACGCCAGAGACAATCCACAATGAGGGCGAGAGTCAGTCTAGACTCAAGTAGCCAGAGAGTCTTCTGTCTGGACGCCCATTCGTACGGTAATTGCAAGCTTTACCACACCTCACAATTTGGTTCTACCAGCGAATGAGCAGTGGCCGGGTACGCAGCGCCGAATGCCATTGTTCAAAAGCTTCAAGCATAGGTACTACGACAGCTACCAAGATGAAACCGATTCCCCATCTTGACGTGCTTATGTGCGCGCCCAATCGGGAGCAAGAACTGTGGGTGGGCACCCCCATACGATGAGCAAATTGACATGTACGGAGACCTCAACCCAGGCGAGTGAGTCTGCTATCCGTACTCACGAGGGGATCCCCGTTAGATCGATGGAAGTAAGCGCGCGGATTCAGGTACACCGTACTGCACTTGCCTGGTAATTGCAGACTTTCTTCCCGTATTTGATGCGAACCTTCGAATACACTCATCAGTGTTGGGTCGCTAGTACCCGAAAGACCCGCGTGGGACGATTCGCGACGAAGCGGTCAGAGTTGCCAAGAGGAAGACGAAGAGGCGAACCCACAGAAGTTCGTCTCTTGAAGGCGGGCAGGCGAAGCTTACGGTACATCAAACAAGAACGGTTGTGTGAGGTGCAACATGCGGTGGAAGGGAGACAGACGCACCGTTACTAGCAGCACTAGCAACACTGCACTGCTCAAAACGCTGGGCTGGGCAGACAAAAGTCACTTGGCCCCCGGATATTAGTGCAGCGGATTGCCAAGTTGGCACCAAGAGCGGAGAGACGCAGGTTCCCACCAGGTCTAGCATCATCCCCTGTCGGTGCTGACGACGCCTCGTTGATTACAGGCTCGGCAAAGTGGATCGTGGGACGGCACAGAGGTTCGGATTCGAGAAGGCGAGGGAGAACTTCAGGACCGATGGGGCTTCCTGTCTCGACTTGGGTCGTTTGGGTCGTGGCGTGGCATTCTGGAGTCGCACTGGAGGGCCCGGAGAGAAGGCGTCCTTCTCCTTTCGCGGTTTTACCCTCGATCAGGCCTGGTTTGGCGGCTCATCATTGTCGTCGAATCGTCGGGTCTATCTCGTCGTCGGTTGATCGGTTCAGTCTCTCTTTTAGCCGAAGTTGGCCCTATGCGACCCCAACGATTTTTTTCTCATATTTCCCATCCACATCCGTCTCCGATCCGACGACGCTCATCTTCCTGGTCAAGCGCATTTGCTAGTCGAAGTACTCAGTCCGTTCCTGTCACATTACCCGCGGGTTGTGAAATCCTTCCCGAGTCTCGACTGCATCTGCATCTTCCAAGACCGTGATAAAAGGCTCTTGGTGTGTCGGCGAACGGATAGGGCGGCACCCTGCCCAGAATATTCCCCTTTCTTGTCACGAGATCGCCTTTTCCAAGGCGAATGGGAGACACCAAAGTCTTGAAAAACCTGCAAGTCGCTGGGGACAGCAAGGTCTTGGTGGTCTTGGTGTGACGGTGCGGCCTTTGATCCTTCGGACGAGGCGGAAATAAGGTGTGCCTTCTCCCGCCACCGTTTTGTTTTTCGCTGGGTCGAAGTCCGGGGTTGGAAGGTCTTCGATTCGTCGAAACTGTGCATCGATACCAAGCACCCAAGCCATTGGCGTATCTTGTGTTGGTGCCAGGTGGTGCCTTGATGTTGGTGGTGGTGGCGATGGTGGTGGGCAACACATCGTAATCCAATGTCACCACCCAAAAAATCGGATTTTTACGAGCCCCGGCATGCTTGTTCGGTCAGATCTCTGCTGTGCGAAAAAGAGGATGACTGGAGCAGAGAGTGAGATGGGGGGCGACGCAGCGATTATGTACTGCAGAGGCGGGCAAATACGAGATTCTGGGGGATACGATCTCTCACTATAGTAACTCCCCCTGGATGCCCTCGTCCATCACCATGCTGTTTTGGGCATGTTACGGGTTACGAGCCATTGCTGCTCTGAGGCTTAACACGGTGGCCGAGAAGTCCGGTAGGCGTCAGCTTGGAGGAGGTCTGCAACATGACTTGGGCGAAGCGTTCTCACTGTTCGGGCGGCTTACTAACGCACGTTCTGGGCTCTGCAGGGCCTTGCAGGGCGTGGAGGCCTAGTTTGGGGGGGCACTTTGCATTGCGATTTATGGTTAAGTTTAACTCATTGCGGCTCTGGGGAAATTGGGATGTTGCCCGGAGGCAGTGCGATTGAGGGCATTAGGTCGAGGTGAGTTTTTTTGTATGACAGCTTCTGGTTCTACTCATGCGATTGCGACTTTGAGGGCAAGTCTGAAGGCGGCTCATCTCACCAATACCCAACAGACAGACTCACGCACAAGCCGTCCTTTGTGTACGGAGTAGCAGAAGCTGAAGTGAAATTCATGAGCACCCGGAGCGTGGTGTCACTGTTACAGTGAGTGTCAGCAATCGGTCACCTCACTTCTATTCACTCTTCATATTGACCTGATCAGGTTTGGAGCAGCCTCATCACACCTTAGCCGTATGTCGCTTACTCGTGCGATCGTGCATTGCGTTCTGAACTGAGGTCCATCGGAAAGCCCTCAGAAATATGGTCAACACACCTCGCCTCACCTTGAACATCGCATCATATTGTGTCGAGTACAAGGAGGCTTGTTAGCTTCTATTTCACAAGGAAACAAACATCAAGTGATTTAAACAAGGTAGCGGCTCGAGCATCGACATGTGCCAGGGCTGCTTTCACAGGGTCTGGTGTAGGCTCTCGTCGTCTCTCATCCCGGAGATGACCCCGTTTGCCAGCGCCTCTCACATCAATTCTCATGTGGCATGCGATACAGGCTGCTGTCAGTTGCCGGTGAGACGAGATAGATATATGATTTTGGCAAGCCCACTTTCTACTCCTAATTCGAGCAAGCGATGGCTGCATGTTATTTGCCCAGGTGAGATGATGAGATAGTGGTAGGTTTTCCCGTAGCCCGAGCTGAGCGCTGTTCACCACCAGTGAGACGGTTACTCATCGGTTCATTCACTCGACTCTTCAAACTCACTCGACCTCATTTGCTCACTCGCTCACCTGGACAATTCACTTTTACCCAGTCGTTTAATGTTCTCCATCATTAGACGCTCAGAATCTCATTTCGATAATTTTCAAGGCGAGAACAAAGCACCATTTGGTGATTTTGATCTTATCTTTCCAACGCAGCCACCGACGCCGTACCGACCAGGCCATAGACGGCCGGCCAACGCCTTTTGCCCAATCGGGAAGAGTAGGTGCATATGCTTGTTTCTAGCTCGGCCATATGTGCAGGGCATCCGTGGCAGCCCAGCTGAGGCTAGAGCTGCCTCACTTTTACTTTTGAGAGGAAAATCAAGGTGAAGGAGAGGAGGTACATTCAGATAAGGTGATGTAATGAGACGACGCTTGGTACCTGCCAAAGCCAACAAAGTCGATGCTGGTGCTAATGCCAACGCCAATGCCAATTGCCAACACCAAACGGGGTAGCACAACCGAATCATCGACCCCGGACTCACCTCACTTTCCTGTGAGTCCTGCCGCTGTCATTCGACGCGAGATAAGCGGGCAGGGTCGATGTATGGTTCTTGTCCATTTTCAGCCCCTCCTACCAATATTTTCTCAGCTGTTGGATGAGCAGGCGAGCTGGGCCCAGAACACCAGGAATGTCACCAGCAACCAACGGGCTAGACTCCTTCTCTCTCAGTGTCTCTCTTTTTTCCCTTCCTCATCGTCATCTTTTTTCACTCTCTTCCCTCCTTCCATCTGCTCCACCCACAGACCCCAACCTGCGCTTGCCTCCCCGGTCCGGTCCATTGAGAGAGTGACATTGACTCATCCCGTCGGACCCCGTCAACCTTCTTCATCGCCTACCTCCATCCTCCGGTCTGCACTCCGACTTTTTGTTCCTCTTTCGTCATTGCCTATTTTCCGTCGACCTCTGTCACGATCAAAGGAGTGCTTGAGTTGATGTTGACGGCCTTTAATCACCTCCCTTCGCACGCACTGATACAAACGTCACCTACCTATTTGCATTGAACACACCAAACCTCACCTTCGTCTCACCACATTCACGGCGCAAACAAGATGAGAAACGCGATTCTTCTTGCCGCCGGCCTGACGGCTGTCCGTCACGCGTCTGCTGCGTACGACACAACGATCTGCGGCAAGACGAACAAGTTTACGAGCTCAGATACCCAATTCATCTGTACGTGGATACCCCATTAGGTCTATTGCCTCCAGATCGTTCGAGATCTACTCCATGTAAACGCCGTTACCACAAACGAAGCAGAACACTCTCACCCTACCCTTTATCGTGGACCAGGCTAATACGAGAAATATGCAGTCCAGTCAAATGCCTGGAACCCAGTTGGAAATGGCTCTTCCTGTGTGTCGGTAAGTAATGTGACGTGACAAGCTGTCGCATACGAGCTCCTATCTGCTTCTATACCTCGATGCTCTCTCTCTTCCCTACCATGACCCCTCCTATCAATGCCCATACCACCCCGCTTCCACCATTCTCTCTCGACCCTGCTGAACATCACGAGCTCCATCATGACTTTCTTCCACCTGCCATACCTCTCATCCTACCAGTCATATGCCCGGGCATCTATTGCTCCCGTCGCCTGACCACCTCCACTAACAAGATCCTCCCCGCGATGCACAGGTCGACCAGTCCGTCCCGGCCTTCGACGCCAACTGGAACTGGGAAGAGGACAAGAACAATGTTCACTCGTTCCCCCATGTCCGCTTCAACTCCACAAAGCTGCCAACCAAGCTGAGCGCCATCAAGACGATGCGCCTGGCGACGCAATGGACCATGCGCAAAGGCAACCCCGAGAACGACCCGCCGCGCGACTTCGCCGCCACCACCTGGGCGGAGAGCAAGGCTGAGCTCGAGGGCGTCGTTGCTAATGCCGCCTGGGATTTCTTTGTCGACAAGAACAAGACCAAGACGTATAACCCAATTGACTCGGAGGCGGAAATTATGATTTGGCTGGGCAAGGTCGGAAACCCGTACCCGCTGATGGGCGATTCCATTCTCACCAACATCACTCTTGGCTCAACAGAGTTGTAAGCATTCCTCCTAGTTCCCCGTTTGCGATCCTTCTTGTATTAGATACCTGGTCATGAATGTGCTAACGCGCTTCCCCTGCAGCTCTCTCTGGTTCGATGCCAACCAACGTGATCAAAAGGTCTTCACCTGGGTCACGCGCAACGGCTCCGACGTGACCCAGTTCGACGAGGACATTACACCGCTGCTCAAGTTTGTTCTGGACTCTGGCGAGATTGACAGCGACTCATGGCTCGGTCTGGTCGAGTTTGGCTCCGAGGCATGGCACTCTCCGGAGAACATCACCTTCAGCGCAGCTCACTTTAGCATGGATCTCGACAACGGTAACAGCGGTTCCAGCAGCGGCAGTGGAAGCAATGACAACGCGGCTAGAAGAGGCGCGCTTTCGGTGTTGGGCCTGGCTTCTGCGCTACTGCTCTCGCTTTCGGCATTGGCCATGTAAACCGCGTCCTTTTTGCTTTGCTACAACAAACATGTGCGCTTAGAGAGACGAGATGACGGCTTGGAGTACAGCATTTGACTGATTCGTTGATGATATCCGAGTATTCGAGTAGTACCGCGTTTGAGGCGGTTTGACCTCGAAAAACATTGCACTTAATCAATACATAATGGCATACAGAGAGCAGGAGGATCCTTTAATGTCCTTGACACACAATTCACCAGTATATCTGTAATTTCGCAATGTGATAACATTCAAGATTCCAGCCTAATCCTCGTATAAGAGTAGTTTACATATGGAAGCAAAAAAAATTAGCTTCCAAGCTCTCGAAGCCATCCAAGTCACCTAAGCTATCGGAGCATACGCCGATCTCTAAGCAGGAGGGGTCCCCCGAAGGAGCGTGCCTTGCTTGAGCAGTGACACCCTCTTCTGCGAGATCGTTGGTCCCACACCACACACACACACACACACACACACACACACACAGGCACCCTCCAAGGAATCATCAACCAGGGCATGTAGAGGAGGTGGCGGCCTCCCAGTCAGCCAAGCCGGAAAGAGAGCACCGTCTAAACATAGCAGTACCAATCATCTTCTGGATTCCCTTGCCATCTTCGCCTCGCCCACGAGTATCCGTATTGTGTATACTAAGCCCCAGCCCCTTTTGAACATCCTCTTTCAAGCTGGACAGAGACAGTGTCAGCCACTGACGGTTGTGATACGGTAAAAAAAAATGCTACTTCATGGTGGCAACGTGGGGAAGTCTAGCGGTCCGATGCGGGCATTAGACGTGAGCAGTAGGGACATTGGCATGCAGTAAGCTCGAGAGCGATTTCCATGGACCGGCGTTTGTTTACTACAACCCGCAGACGGAAGACCGTTTTCGACGAACCGCGCTGGTAACGCGTATGGCAATCTCGTTTTCCATGAGTTGGTGTGTGGGCAACATGCATCTCGCAAAGGATCAGTTGCCGGGATGTTTTTTGATGGGGACAGTGTGGCATGTATGATGGATGGGGGTGGGATGGTGTGCACGGTCTTGGCGGAGATGGATGGGAAAGGGGCGGGTTGGGCGGAGCGGGATTGGAGATGCGGCTTGCCCTGCAGGCGTCGCCAGGCGAAAGAGACCAACACGGGTGACGGGAATCATGTTGACTTGATGCAAGCCGACGGGAAGGGAAAGGGAAATTGTATCAATATGCTGCGTCATCGAGATCCACGCCTCGGAGAGTGGCCTCAATCCGGGACAATGAGATCCGTAGGACAGTCACAGAACAATAGTCTGATATCCACACATGGCGAGAAGCGGCGGGAGAATTGGTGGTGTCGTTTCAATGTTTGACGGTGTGAAGAAAAAACCAAGGAAGAAAGACAATGTGCTTATCTGGCGCCATTCTTTCGTATTGGCGGCTTGGCGCGCGTGCCGCCATGCCGAAGCAGCCAAGACAACGGGCGGCTTAAACGGCGACGACAAGGTATGGATATGGAGAGCGGAGAGGAGTTTAGGATCGTGGAATATTCGTTTTGTTCCTTTATTCTTGCCGATGATGTGCTGCAGGATAGGAACCGAGATGAAATGGTCAGTCTAGGTATTGCGTGCTTTTTGGCCCCTTGATTTTTGCCTAGCACTTTTTGAAAGTCCCTTGGAACCACGGTGACTGTCACTCTTCATGGTGTGCGACTGTGAATGTGCACTCTGCGATCAATCGCTACGCCGGAAAAAAGTGCCTTGGTATCGCACGTCAGCGCAGAGTAGGATGCAGTTTGATATCTCATCCTGGTGAAAGCGGAGGGCCTTTTGGACGATGTTGCGAACTTGCGATAGCGGAAGCTTCAGCGGGCGACAATGGACACAAGGCCGGGGTAGACCAGGTCGCTCCAGCCGCTCAGCTGGCTTTGGCTTGCCATGTCTCGGTATTGGAGGACCGGATCGACATGGCGGGTGTGAATCGTCAACATTGTGTTTTGTGACTCTGCTAGCAGCCAGGTAATAGCCTCTAGGTCACAGGTGAGTCGAGACTTTCGTTGCCCGCGTGGCATGGTGGGTCTGATGTAATTCGTTGGACTGGGGTGCGGAGGAGGCTTGGGGGCCCTCGTTCCAATGGAATGGCGGGAAAGTCTGAGAGCGAGAACGACATTCGAAATTATTGAGGAATGCCCCATTCACTTCAGGATTCGGACCGTCAATATCGGTAGAAAGAGTCCGGTTGGCGCCGGCACATTCTCTGTTGACGGCGCTTGATCATCGCCTCCCTCCTAAGAGATCCTGATCGTCAGCGTTCGTTTGTGCCATTGCCAATAGTAAAGGGCTCTATTCGAGACTCTGTGACCGGGAAACGACATGACGAAGCGTCATCGTTGCTCAGGCCAAGCGCCGTGTAAGACAAGGATTCGTCAGCGATGTTTGGCAGAGGCGGGAAGGGCGGCGACCGGCAATGCCGCTGCACATTCTAAAGAAGCCGGCGGCCAACGAGACACTGCTGGGCCAAGCAGCAGAAGAAAGAAACACTGCAGAACAACAACGGCCAGGTATCCGTACAACGGACGAGAGAGCATGCGCCAGCGAATGGGGATGTCGAAATAGCCTCTGAGGTGGATGCTGTCATGGTTTACGCTTATTAGCTTATTGGCGTTGACAGCGTATGCGTATGTATTAGTGGGCGGGCCAAAGAAGAAGCGGTCTCGAACTGGTGGCCCAATTGCGTGGTATTGAGGCTCCAAGGCTATGGGCTGGAGAAAGTATCGGTTGCTGAGCCAGGAGGCGTATAACGGTGGAAAGGTCGCTGGCGCTGTTTGCATCTGCGACAGTGGCAATAACGAATAGCGTGTTGGTTTATGGCTAGAGGGATGTGTGCGTTGTTGGTTGGCGTTGGCCAACCATCATTGGGGAGGTGTTGGAGAAGCGCAGCCACAGACGGTGGGTAACGGAGCGTTGGAAGTTGGAACAAGCTGAGGAAGACAAGGAGGCTGGTGTTTCTCTCTTCCATGTTCCCAGATCCCAGGACAGCTGAAGGACTGGAGCTCCAGTCAGTCCGGCCACTGCCGATGGTCGATCTGATAGCAACGGCCGCCGTCTCGGGTCTAGCAGCGTGTCTAGCAGCGTGGTAATGTGGTTAGCAGTGAATGCCAATCGCGGGGCCATTCCCACCGTGGGCTAGCTCAACGCTTTGTGTTTTTGAGTTCCAAGGTTATCTGCGTAGCGCGGCGGGTCAGAGAAGCTGGCAGACGTTGAATCAGAATTTTCTCGATGATCGCGGCACTGGGCAGATTGCAAGTTTGAAAAGGGCCGGTGTGTTTGCTGCACTTGAAGAGTAGAACTCGATAGTGCCGTCCATCTGTGTGGATGTGTTTGGGATGGTTCGTCCGGTGCTATCGACATCCTGGTCAATGCTACCACATGGCGGTCCAGATTGATTCTTCTGACCATGGAAGGTCCATCTTGACATGGACCACCTGCTCGACAGCTGTCAACCCTGCTCCTGCCTTTTCCCTGGTCGTACGGGTCCGGAGTAGTTTCTTCGTCTTTGATATCTGTTCTGCGGTGTTCCTTCCTTGATTCTTATCCGACGTCCACATAATCTGCGAGCGTGGAGGCACAAGTGACAGCAAAAGTGACAGTCTGACAGAGGAAGGAGTGGGGGTCTATCTAAGGTACGCAGAGAGATATGAACCACAGCAGGCAGGCAGGTGCAACAGGCCACAACGGACGGGAAGTAAGGCAGGAGTATCTAAAGTAGCTGCTCATCCGGAAGGAGCCCGACACGATGAGGCGCCGTGGTGGCTGCAGTTCGTACAGTTCGTGGCTCCTTCCCACAAGTTCCCAGAGCAAGTCGCATGTCGACTTTCCCTCTGGGGCCTTGGCGCCCGTGATGTGGTTGACGCTAACGGCGCCTGCAGACCAACCCCTGTTCGTGACCCGGTACGTACTGCGATAGTCAGCTCATGGTTCCGTTGCGCTTGCCGATAACATCTTGGCGGCTCTTTCCTCCATGGGCTTTTTCCAATGTCCATCCAGCTCATGTTCCCATGTTCCCATCCACCTCTCTCTCCTCTTTGGTGTTTGCGCATGCAACAATCCTCCGAGTAACTGCCCTAACTTTTCAATCCCAAGAAGCTGCAAATGTACCTCAATTGCTAGGTACCCGAGGAAGGCAAACCGGGAAATAAGCCCACGTTTGATGATGCAGGTGGCTTTTTCTTTCCCACTGCCTGCCTGTCACCTGCTTTGCGGCTCGCCATGGATGGCAGGCACGGGACACCTACCTCTCTGTGTCTGCCATGAGATAGACATGTGTTATCTGGCGCCTGCTCCGACCAAGGTACATGAGGTAGGTGTAAGCTACGGACACGGATAATATTTCAACATCTTTATCCGAAATGGCAGGCGAATGTTTCCCTCAATCTCAAGCTGCACTGCCCAATCACGAACGGAGTCCACTCCGACCGGCCCCACTCCACTCCGGCGTGGCATCTGGTTCGGTTTCTCACCCTCTTATCATTCCTCCTGCCTTCTGTTCTGACTCCTGCCTGCCTGGCTCCTCTCCGCTGCTTCTGTCATTTTATGCCCAGATTTTCTTTCCTGTTTCCGTCTGGTCCAACCTCCCACGTTCATACCCCCGCGCCACTTGTTGTACTCCACACGGAATAGCCATGTGAGAATCTTGAAGCCCAGTTGTCTTCCAGACTAAGGTAGATGGTTCACCTGCAGTCCACGGCAACGGTCAACATCCCATGCAAATTTCGGCCATGGGCCGTCAACTACGGTCTACGAATACAGGCTTGAGTAAGCTAAGGTAATTAGCTACGTAGCACGCTACTACGCTACCATACCTTAATCTGATCTGTTTGGTATCCATACAGCTGCAATGACACCGGTTGCTCTGACTCTTCTTAAGCGGTGATGTCACAACATCTCTCCCACCGGGCCATTGTCACGGCTTGCAGGCGACGGGAGTCAACACTATCCGTAACCAGGTATCTAAGCGCACGCAGACTTGAGAGACACGCTCACAGCCCTTGCAAACGCCAAACGGTCCAATGGTCGCTACATCCCTGCCACGATCCTTTCCAATTGCCCACACATTAACCCGAGTGGATTGGCGACTTGCGACTCGCGAGATATCCATGGCAGGGGCAGAGCAAAGTCCATGTTCATTTTGCAGCAAGTACCAACGAATCGGACATTATTCGACGAATAAACATGGTCGTTGTAGAAGCCTCAAGCAGGCCAGCCCAGCCCAGCAGTGAGGTACCTACCTTCCGGACATAACCATGCCGTACGCATTCGTACCTCATTCCGTGGCCGTGATACCGAATTCATATGCTTGCAGGAGGAAGCAAGACGGTGTATCCTCTCCTGCTTAGATTGAACTTCTGGAGTGGCCTGCTGTCACGCCTTGCCTTGCCTTGCCATTCTCTGTCTTGTCTCCAGGCCGTTTATTCCTGTTTCTCGTATACTCGCGTGTGTGTCTAGAGTGCCTGCACCTTCCGCTTCCTTGGCTGTGGTGAACCTCCCCGTTTGGTTCGCTACTTTCTGATTCACCAGCCCCATCCCGTCCCAACTTCACCTTGCGCCCTCAGCAAACTCCCCTCCCGACTGCTGCCTTTCCTCCCCTCCACCTCACCTCACCTTACCTCGCCTCTGCTAAGGAACCCTACACCTTCTCTTCCTCCGTCATTCCGCCGTCTGTGTGGCTTGCCCCGAACAAAACTTCCCCTACCCCCATTCCGCTCGCTGCACCTAGAGACTAGACGTTGGCTACTACTAGTCTTCCGCTGCCATCATCGCGCTACTCTCGCCGCCTTGCCCGCTCGCTAGTTCAACTCCACGAGGGTGGTCTACTTTCAATTTTCAGTCACTCGCTTTGACGACATTCGCTGCTCTCTTCTTCTTCCTGTTCCGATCTCTCGTTACACCTTCCCACGCACTCGCTGCTAAGAGGCCCTTCCGTCTGCTTCGGGGGAACCTAGTGGGAGTACATCGACACTTCAAGCCATCTTCGTTTGCCTCACCACCCCTTCGACGCACTCGTTCCACTGCCAACACAGGCCGACTCTCGATCTCCTCAACCACCAGCAACCTTGAGTGAGGAGAGCCTGTGTCGCTTCGCGAGACCCTAATACTATAATGTCACGTCCATTCACACCTCGGGGAGCTACTCCCGACTCGGGCCTGACGCCCCCGACTAATCCATTCGGTTCTAACCCGTTCGACACCGACAACGATTCGAGCGCGGCTCCCTCCCTCGCCAGTGACTCTACCTTCACTGTGGTACGTTCCTGTGAAGTGTTATTGGGAATGGCTTCCGGCCTGAAGGAAACAGGACTAACATCTTCCAGAACGCTGTTGGACAAACGCATCCGTACGACACAACAGACAGATCCGGTCAGAGATCAAGCTGGGCCGACTCCTCCCACCACCGTCTGAGTAGACCCGACATAGTAGGTTACTCAGCATCTGACATCCTTGGATCCAACTAATAAATACCAGGAGCCTTCACCACTGGCCAGAGAGGTTCCGGTCTACAATGAAAAGGGCCATCACCAATCCTCGTCTGATACGGATGTCGAAGCAAGCCATGTTCCGCCTGTCGTGTCGGACCCTGAGAAGCCAAAGGAGACGCACACCACCGCTCTTCCACCCTCTTCAGGCGAGTCGTTTCCCAAGAGACTCTACGCCCGTTTCCGCGCAACCTACTGCCCCAAGGAGGAGCCACCGCTGGTTCTGCCGGTATGCCCAAACGACACCGAGAAGCTCAGCTACGTTCACACGAATCGACTTCTTCTCTACATCTTTGGCATCTTCTCGTTCCTCTCGCTCGGCGCCGGAATGTGGCTGTTCGCGCTCTCTGCTCCGGCATTCTACTGGTATGGCGTCTTCGCGGGAGCAATGTGCATCTACTTGATGATTTCCTACGCCGTTGGAATCATCGGAAGGGACTGGGACTATAAGGCTCACTTGGATCTTGTTGAGCGCTTCCCCATTACCGAAGACAACGCTCCGACTGTCGATATCTACCTGCCCTGCTGTTCTGAGCCCATTGAGATCCTGGAAAACACGTACAAGCATATTGTCAACATCGACTGGCCTGCCTCCAAGCTTCAGGTTCACGTCATGGACGACGGTAATTCGGAGCCTGTCCGACTTCTCGCTGAGAAATACGGCTTCAATTACTCCGTCCGCGATGACCGACCTCGCCTCCGAAAGGCTGGCAACCTGAGATGGACTTTTGCTCAAACTAGCGGAGACTTCTTCGCAATCTTCGATGCCGACTTCTGCCCGCGCCCTGACTTTGTTAAGGAATTAATGGTTGAGCACTTGGGCGACGATAAGACGGCCCTTGTTCAAAGTCCTCAGTACTTCCGTGTCACCGACGACCAGACTTGGGTTGAGCAGGGAGCAGGTGCTACACAGGAGCTGTTCTACCGTGTTGTACAGGTCAACCGTAACAGATGGGGAGCCTCAATCTGCGTCGGTAGCAATGCCCTCTACCGTCGTGAGTCCCTTGTCGAGGTTGGCGGAACTGCCGAAATTGGTTTCTCTGAGGATGTCCACACCGGGTATGTTCGATCTAATCATCTTGCAAGAGCATTTGCTAATATTCCACAGTTTCGGCGCTGTCGACCGTGGCTGGAAGGTCAAGTACATCCCTCTCTGCCTCGCCACTGGTGTCTGCCCCAACTCCCCTCGTGCCTTCTTCTCCCAGCAGATGCGATGGGCTCGTGGTTCTACAACTCTTCTTACCAATGGCCACTTCTGGGTATCGAACCTCACCCTGATGCAGAAGATCTGCTATCTCTCAGGTTCGTACTCTTTTCTCCTCTGCATCAAGCCAATCATCTAATAATTCGCAGGCTTCTTGTACTACGCTGCGGTTTCGCTCAACATCTTCCTTGCTCCTATTGCCGGCACTCTTCTCCTTGCCATCCGTCCAGAATGGTTCAAGTTCTGGAACCTGGCTTTTGCTATCCCTTCGATCCTGTACGGTGTCATCCTCATGCGCTGCTGGGCCAAGGCCAAATATGGCTTCAACGTGCAGCATGCCATGACGGTTCAGAGCTACGCCTATCTCACCGCTATCAAGGATCGTCTCTTCAACATCGAGCTTCTCTGGGCTGCATCCGGCGACTCCAAGGCCCACAAGAGCAACAAGTATCGTAATATGCGCCTTCTTTGCATCATCTGGACCCTAATTGTTACTGGTGCCATGGTCGGCGTCGTCACATGGCGCCTCGTCACTGGCTTCACCTGGTATCACCCCTTGCCACTCATTATCATCAACGTCTACAACCTGTTCATCAACCACTACTTCATGTTCTGCAACTGGTAGTTCCCTGCCGAGATTTAAGCACGCATGAGTTGTGGGAACGGGGAACAGGTTTTTGTTATTAAAAGCTTGCATTATACATGGACAAATGGAGTCAAGACATTTGATTTTTTGCGATCGAGATGACGGAGGTAGCATTGACGGTTTTACCCGTATGGAAACGGCCTTATACCATGGACATAGACGCGCGCACAAAAGCCTGTCTGCACACACTGCTTCCACAGCATACATACAGTTGGTACCCTTGTATATCACGATGGATAGAATAATCGGGGAGGTACCTTGGCAGCGGTGCTGCCTTTCATAATCATAGTCAATACTAATACTTTTACGAAGAGTTTGCGCTCTCCAATAATCCTGGCGAAGTGACTGGTTGACCTCTGCGACCTCGGGACTCGATACAGAGTCTTCGCTGATTGTCCCATACCCCCAGTTCGCTTGCTCGTATTGAGCTGTGCCATATCCTCTGTGGACTTAGAGTCGCAGCAACTCTTCCGGGTTAAACTTGATACCTCGTGTGTTGCCCGGATCCAAATTGTTCATATGCTTCCACACATCCCCGGGGTTGTCACAGTTCTCCACCATCGTCTCAATCTAGTTTCCATCTGGATCCTTGTAGTACATGCTTGTCGTCACCCCGTGATCGAGATAGAGATGCGGTTCGATTCCACCCGCCTTGCCTGCGTGATACATGCGGGCGAGGTCGTTGAGGGAAGCGAATTTTAGGGCGATGTGGTCGAGTCCCGTGGGTGGTGGCGTGTTGTTGGAGGAGGCAGTAGGAATAGAGGAGGAGGAGGAGAAGGCTGGGGTTGATGGAAGGGGGCTGTGGAAGATCGCGAGGCGACGGTGATCTTTGGCCCACGTCAGGACGGAGATGTAGTTGTTTTGGAGGACGATATGGGCGTTGAGGAGGGGTTTGTAGAAGGAGACTAGGGGGGTTGGGTTGTTGGTCCGGAGGCCTAGGTGGGCTATTTTGATTGGGGATGGGGTTGGTGGCTGTGTCACGGTGAGGATGTTTGCCTGGTATCGAGTGGTGATGATCTAGAGGTTTGACTCTGGGGGGTGGATCGTTCTTTGAGATTTTGGGCTATATGCTGGTGATATTGAGCACTGAGTGTTTAGAGATTGTACCCTTTTATATCTTTCTTGTGCCTATTCATGATTAAGGTACCTTCATTCGTACCGTATACGAACAAAAGTAACTCCCCTTTCTGGAGATGTCCTGGGATACGGAATCATTCCATGTGAGGTTTGATCTTGCTAAGAGGGAAGGCTGAGTCAAAATGTTTGCGAAGTCGTTCTGTCCCATGATTTTGCTTCCGCCGTGACGCTATTCGACTATTTTCTGGTGTCTGCCTGTGCAAGTCCGCAAACCTTCGTCGGACCTCGCCGAAACTCCGTAGCGCCTGAGGATTTGATACCGGACATTGATCTTCAGATTCAACGGAATTGAGGTCTCTCAATATTTGTTTGGACGATCGTAAGCAGTCGCGTCCATGGCTGTGTTTGTGTTTGTTCTCTCAACGGTCTTTGGTCGATGGACACATCAACAGGGTAATTGGGACATTTGGCCGGCAAGAGGCTCGATGATCGGGCTTGGAACTATGTCATTGCGGTAAAGAAGGAGGAAGCGTCAGGCGGACTACATCAATTGTTCTGAAGTAGAAGGAGGTAATTGGAAGCGCTGTTTTCAATGGCTTAGACTGCCTGCCTTCCCATTCCACCTCCTCAGTCAAGATTTCTACACGAAAAACGCAAACAGAACGGGTTCGCTAGTTCTTTGATGCAGAGTGACTGGCTTAGAACTCTTGATGCTTAAGTAACTAAGGTAGATTGCCAATGTACGAGACTTGAATATCTCCCACAGCGTTTCATAGCGAAGCGCTCTTCCTAAATCAAGGTTATTCTATGGGTTGGCAGATCTTCTAGTAGCCTTCTAACAGTAGCCAAATTTTCCATGGATTTTCTCTTCAACTCTGGCTTATTATTGCTGTACGGAGCTGCTGGATGCCCCAATTCCGCCCAGCCGACTCGCCTATAACAGTCGCTACTCTGATCTCTTTGTACGTGAATAGCACCAAACCCGAGTGAAAAGTCGTTTTCCGCGGCCAAAGGAATGAGATAGCCGGAACATTCTGCGGGAGTAAGATCCTTGACAGGAGATCCGCTGTCCGATGCATAATAAGAAACATATAAGTGATCCAGATTTGTAATGACGGCGTTGAACGGGTCAAAATACAAGTGGCCAAATGGCCAGTGAAGTTTGCGTCTGCCTGGGACTGGGCCAATGCCTGTAAATGCTTGGTAAGCTCTCTGCTTTCTGAATGCTTGGCAAGCAGTAAGTAGAGAGCTTGCGTCTAGAAGAGGAGCCCTCAATGTGATTGTCGCCTCTACACAGTCGGCCATGTGGCTCGGGCCTTGGTTCGCCAGTTTGATGTCTTCGACTTGCGTACACTTGAGGGACTTGTTGAGGCCCGAAAACCAGGTGACTTGAAAAGGGGATGACGCCCAAGACCAAGATGGATAGCGGGTAATTCGTGGTTTTGGAGCCTTGTAGCGGCCCTCTAAGAACCACAGAAGATCGTGAAGTAAAGTCTTCCACAAGCCCACCAAGTATCGATCGCCGGGCCGTAAATTCTGCATTTGCTCGGCTAGCCCAGCTAGGGCAGCCATCTTGTCCTCTTGCTTACTGAGTCGAAGCCGTGAGTATTCCTGAACTGTCCGATACCACAGGTACTTTGGGTCTTTCTCAAGGATACCATATGGAATATGGGAAAAGGAGATCCTGGCCCATCCATCTTTTGAGGTCAAATCTTTGTCGTTATCCTTGCTCTCGCTTTTCTGTGCATCCCGGCAGACCCATATCACTTCCTGAGCACAGAAGTGCAGTACGCGTGGCGAAAGTCGCATCTCCTGATAGGCCCATCCACGATTCATCAGTGGCCAGCCTGAGCTTTTTCCTATTTGATGTTCGCTCGACATCAGGGGGAATTCGGGAAGTTTATGAAGAACATAAGTGTTGTTGCATCCAGGCACGAGTTTTGACATGTACTCATTACCTGTATTCGCGAAGCAACCACCAGATGCATCGCTAGATTTTGTCGCTGCGATTGTGAGATCCGCCTTTGCATAAATATGGGCCATTTGCGAAGCTTGATTTTTCCAGTCTGCTTCGGAATCCTGGATAATGCACAGCGAATCGATCTATAAATATGACACGCCCAAACTACGGCAGACTGTGATTGCATCTCGAAAAGTTGCATTAAGTTGATTCAAGGGGATGTTTCTCTGGTGATCTTCGATGTTCTCTCCGGTAGTTTTGGTGATTTGGGCGCTATCGCCCCAACAATAGCTCAGACATGCGTAACGTTGCTGCCCAGTGTTCTCTTGCAAAACAACCGTATCATTGCTGATTTGAAGAAGTCTTTTGGGTGAGGCTTGTTGTTGGTGTGCATGCTTGCCGTTTTTATGAGAACAGGTGTGACTTGAACTGCACTCATCGAGCCAACCTTTGATAGTTCTAATGGTCGTTTCAGAGCTTGTACTTTCTGGGAGGTGTGCTGCGATCTTCTGCATTTGGTACGGATGTTCTTCCTGGCCTATTGAATGATTTGTCAGCGGTCGAAAAACAGACGAGGGCCACAGCAGATTAGACCGCCATCTCCAAGATTCGATATCTCCAGAAAATTACTGGATGGAGTGCTGAGAATGGGGAGACTCACCATCTTGCGTGAATATATCGATCTTGTACTTGTGTTTGACTCTTTGTACCAGACATAACAGTAGAGGCCTTGTTGAACTTTTATGCTATCGATCTGCTGCGTATCAAACGAAGCCGCCCTGATACACTTGTTGAGGAAGGCACACCGGGAGCAGCCGGCTTGGATACCCCGAGGAAGGTCATGCCACTTCAGCATACGTGTGGTATCCCCTCCATCTTTATCGCAGAACTGACAAGTCATGTCGAATTGCGTTAATGAAAATTCAGATGAGGCACGGTGATGCCCGATAATCTCCCAACAGCTCTCGACTGTTGTTTGAGATATTCTCAGCTTGTTGAATTAATGAGTATTTGCGAGGTTGATATATGAGCGATGGAATAGGTATTCCCAAGGCTGTGTAGTCGACAGTGATGTATTAGTGAATGCACGCAGTGGCCATATTCTCCTCTTATCTTGTTCTTACTCCCAATTACTGAAAATTCCAGAAGGTTTTAGGCAGCTATGCATATTTAGCGCGCCAAGGAGTGGCGCGCACGTAGCCCATGTGCAAACTGAATTTCAGAACACGTTGTGTTGGAATATTGACGGCAGAAAAGGGTGGATTTGGAAGGTGGTCTGGGCCGTTGCAAACGGCCCTTCCACCTACTTACACCCAACGGAGGAATCGTGGGCTACGTCCACCAACTTCCTCCTTACACAGATATACGCAGTTCAATACCAAGATTATTGAGCTTCGTACCGGCCCACAGGCCCCTGCTGACGTGTATACCAACACGTTGAGAAGGGCAGGGGGAACACTCGGAAAGGCTTCCTGTCATCGTAGTATAGAGTGTACATGGCCCTTGTCCCGATTGCCCAAGTGACAGCAAAACATCTACAAAAATACGGGCCACTCCTGGCTAATACGAGATCAAGCGTTATGCAGGTCATCTCAACTCTGCGGAAGCTGCAGTATGTAATAGCTACTGGTTAGCCTTTGCCTGCCGCCCTGCCACGCTGATGATGCCTAACACAGCTTGTGGCGCAGTGGTTGAGAGATGCAGAGAGTAAGGCAGCTAAGACAATACTCTTGCTCAGTGACTTGGCAGCTTCCCTTACGTCATTTTTGGTGGCTTTCTGGTCCTTGGTGTAATCGAGGACTGGCTTACCTAAAGAAAAGGTGACAGAGTGTCTCAGGAGCAAATGCAAACGTCTCGGACGCTTCTGTAGTCATGTGGCGTTAGGCAGATGCTACGCCAAGCCTCTTTCGATGGAGGCCTCTTGTCAGATAAATAGGTAAGGTAGGTAAGATACGTCTCTTGGAGGACACGAACTTGAAAACCCCAACTGATCACTGCTGCAAAAAAATCACTCTTGATATCACACCAATCGACTCTTCCCCAAAGGACTATCAATCCACCATCTGTACCATTCGTGATGATCAAATTACACTGGTTCACCGTTCACGGGGTCTACCTCCTTACCCAGCTTGCTCTCTTGATCGCCGGCTTCGCAGCCTTTGTATCAATGCCATTGAAGTTCGATCACCCGATGCCGCCAGGAGTGCCTTGGGGATCTGTAGTTTTGGTGCGTCAATATCTAATTTCTCCCCCCGAAAAGCTCACATTCTGTGGAGATTATATATGCTTATCATTTCTTTGGTCATAGAGCAGCTTCTCACTCTTCGTCAACGGCATCATTTTCACCGCAATCTTTTCGTCTCAACGACCGAACCCCCTGATGACCGACGAGAGTCGTATGAATGTCCGCCGTGTCATACTCCTCGTCAGCGCCTTATTTGCAGCGGGGTTCGCTGCCGCGGATGGGGCTTTTGCTGTCTCGTTTCGCAAATATGGAACAACTGGTCCCGAACAGGCTGCCAGCGGTGTAGCTGGGGTGGCTTCGTACGTCAAAAGCTAAACTGCCACTCCGTGTTTCTCGGTACTGACTGGCTAACTTGTGAAGATTTGTTGCGCTCGCTGCTTTGGTGGTGGATATTTGGAAGATTTGCGTAGATGCCTCGGAAGCTCGGTCTGCTGAGTTGTTCGATCGGGAACAGCTTGATGATGTAGAGCCGTATACGGATGGTTGAATTATTGTAGGGACTTTGAAAGGCAGTGATAGGTTTATGTGAAACCTTGGAACGCCAACTGTCATTTTAATTGTTAAGGAGGTAGCAATACGTGCAACACAAAACTTGCTTTCCAATGCTTCATTTCCATTTGCGCTAATATCACGACATCATCAAGAAAGCATGCTACAGAATCCTTAATCCCTCAATGTCATGCACGTGAGATGATGACTCGAAAAATGACTCTTGTTTTGTGTCGCAGCGATGGGAAATTTAGTGCCGGATTGCCGTCCATGTATCCAGCAAATACCCCGAAGACCGACAGCCTGATCCTGACATAAAGAACGCACGGACGTACTAAGGCGAGGGAATGGCTGAACTCGAATGTCTTACAGCCAAATCAGGTCTCAAGTTGCGATTTGTTGAGCCAAGACAGTCAGCCTGACACTGCCTCAACCCGACAAAGCCACCCATCTACTCACGGGCCGTTGCGCATGATCGAAATGGTATCGAAGGAATCTTACTTTTGGAAATCGGAACATCGATCCCTCTGAGCCACTTGAATCTCGCAAAGGATGATGTCGTGGTTGTTCCAGGGACAGAGGAGGGCTGACAGCTTTTCCACCATCGAAGACTTTGGCGACCTGGACGGACAGAAAAAGTGCCGTGGCTGCAAACAGATCCGCGCTCTTTTGGATTTCTACAGGCGCCATAACACCCTACCGCCCAAGGCTGTTGTTTTTCACGAGAACTATGCCTCTCTCGACAGATGTGCCCAGTTTTGCGTCACCTGCCGCATCTTTCGTCAGGCGCTGCTCCTTGAGGGCGTGAGTGCCGACCATGTGGCTGTGATGGAGGACTCCCCAGGGCATGTTTGCGCCAAGTTGGTAACCGAGAATGATCAACTTGCCGTGAGGATACATATCAACGAAGACGTAGACGCCAGAATCCCGGCAGCGATGGTCTTCTGCGCACCGAGCAAGGACCCGAAGCCTCCTACGAGGCTGAAGGAGGATTCAGCGGACGATGCCATCTTTAAACAGATTAAGGAATGGCTCCGTAAGTGCGAGCAGTGTCATATTGACTGTGGCAATCTTGCGTACTCGGATCGCGTGCCGACGAGGCTTCTTCACATCATCTCTGACTCAGAAGCACAGCTGGTCGGCAGTAACCGCCTCATCGCGGACGGCAAAGCCCCTCGCTATGCGGCACTGAGCTATTGCTGGGGCACTGGCAATTTTACTGTGGATGAAAACGAGATGGTCGAACGAGGACAGACGCTGAGAGCTAATCTGGAGAGTCGATGTCAACCGTTCGACATTGAAAGTCTTCCCGGCACAATACGCGATGCTATCAAGATCACCCGGCGGTTAAGCGACCCAGAGAACGGACTGGAGCTGTGCTTCCTCTGGATTGACTCGCTCTGCATCATCCAAGATGACGTTCAAGACAAGGAGGTCGAGATACAGCGCATGCAGGAGGTCTATGGCAACGCTGTCGTTACAATATGTGCAACGACAACGGCCAAGGCCACACAGTCGTTGCTGATGCCGCGTCTCGCGTGGTCAAAACTAATCAAGTCATGTCGTATCGGCACCTCCTGGCTGACCGTGAGCCCGACGCTACCTGCCGGCCTTCGTGCAAGAGCCCCGCTATCACTCCGAGCATGGACACTTCAAGAGGAGCACCTGTCGCCCCGGGTGCTTTTCTGGGGTGGACAACAATTCAGTTGGGCATGTGGGCGCGGCGAGTACGTCGAGGACATATCTTCTTCCACTCTTTCTCGCCCATCTGTCACTCCCTTCCGCAAGTTTCTCGCCGAGTGCCGCACTGCCGAGCCCAAGGAGCTTTGGCTTGCGTGGAACTCCATAGTGGAGTCATACACAGCTCGGAGCCTGAGCAACCCGGCAGATAGGTTCAACGCGCTGGCGGGATTGGCGACGCGATACCTAGCCGCTGTGTCAGGGTACAATCAGTACATGGCAGGCTTATGGCGCGCGACGTTTGCGCAGGATCTCTTGTGGCGGGTTGCTCGACCATCTAGGCCAGACGAAGAATGGCCCGGCACCGTCGATGCACCGAGCTGGTCTTGGGCGAGTCTGCCTATCAGTCTGGGTGTTCGCATGTGGGATGAATTCGAGATGCCAACCGAGGTAGAGCTAGTCGGCGATGTGGCGAGTGTGAATATTGAGCCGTCAGAGGCGGTAGCCCAAGGAGCAGGTCTGAGTCACATCCGGGTAAGAGGCCTTCTGCGAACGCTCTGGAGCCCCAAATCACAGCTTCGGGAGTGGAGCGACGTTTGCGTACAGGTGAACGGCGTCAACAAGTTTCGTTTTGGCTCCAACCCGGGCCAAGATGTACACGCGGTCGACAGCCTCACAGGTAACTTGGTTGCATACGAGGCACGGAAACAAGAGATCGTCGCCGAGTTGGACTCCTGCAAGCTTGCGGAGGACATCACTGAGGAACTTTTATCGGAGATTTACTGTCTTGCCATCTCTGAGCATGGCATGCTTCTCCTGCGCCGTAAGAATATCATGGGTGCGTTCCAGAGAGTTGGCATTGGTTTCGGGTATCGACGGGATTTCTTCAAAAGTTTGGAGAGAACAGAAGTTGTTCTCGAATAAAAAAGCATGGTAGCGAGAAATGGGTTTCTGACAGAATCCATGCATGCTCCTATGCGAGTCATGGACATAACCCATTCGGAATGGTCTGACCATCACGAAACAGGCCAGACTGTCATTTCCACCTGGTCCTAGCTCTGCAAGACTTATTAGGATAGCATTAGGCCCATGAGCCTGTGGTGATTCCATCCCCTCTTTAGTACGAATAGACGCTCTTTTCTGCTCACTCACATATGCATATTCCGCTGGCCACCCTGACTAACCGTCAGTTTCCCACTTCCAATGGTGCACTTTGGATGTTGTGTTTCCACGACGAACTTGCCGCCTTGCGTGACTACATTAGGAAGAGGCTATTCCAATGACTCCGTTTAGGGTTTCTGGCATCACCATGGACATCTTCCTGGCATCGTGTCCTTGTCATTGATCTTTTAATGATTGACTGGAAAGTAGGTGAGCTATAGTTGGCCGCCCAATGCCTAACCTCTACTCCTCTCAATCCTCTTACTACTACTACTACTACTACTACTACTGTTGCTGCTGCTGCTATTATCACTCTTTTTGCTACTTTTGCTTTCTGTTTTCTCTCTATTCTTAAGCGAATACGCTTGGGAAAGTGAAGTATGGTAATGATAATAATGCTAGCGGTTATAGCAGGCGGCCACTTATGAATTACCTAGGCGACATCTTATTTTACTGCCTTCTTAACTAAGCGTCTTTCTTACCGCGGAACTCCAATAGTATATGCAGTCACAGACTTGAACAATAGTGATCCGCTAACGATGATCAAAAGGAACAAGGTAGATTTGAGAGATGGTAGAATTCTTTCGTTGCTTTAATGGCGTTTCTTTTCCCTCAGCGCCCGGACTTATGGGCGCAAAAGATCGACCTTGAAGCATCTGGCTTTCAAGCGAATTCACACGATGCGATATACGCGATTAACCTATGATACTTAGGCAATATTCGAAACTCGCGGTCAACGCAAGTTACTCTGGTCAGAAATCGGTTCATGTCGGAAACACGCCGTAGGTGAGCATCAAAATGAAGATGATGATGATGATGTATTTAACGTCTGGTAACAAAAGGACGTGCCGGGCGCTATGCCGACATGGTCTATGCTAATCTAAAGTATGTTATAGGCTACCGTCTTCACCTAACGTTCCTGTTTATTGTTGTTGTATTTTAACGCCGTAGCGGCAAGGGCGCAGCCGCCCTTGCGGCAGACCTCCCGAAGGGTATATGGCGTGGAGGGCCGTAGGCCTGTAGCTATCACTAGATACAGTCCAGCTCGTCCTCCAAATCGTACCCAAAGGCAACTATGTGTTTAACCTGTCTCTGGGTGCCGCTGGCTTGCCCGAGACAGTGCTATGGTCGTCCCTAGAACGCAATTCCGCCAGTATCTCCTATCCTTCGACCCAGAGCCCGCAGGCTTCTGGTTTACACAACGTTCCAGTAACCGTCCGGAGTATATCGTAATAGGTAATACCGCCACAAGGGAAACCACAAGGGGCAAAACCTCGTAAGACTAGGTTGTAGGGCTTGCTGTTAGGTTCTGTAACGAGCATAGCTGTATATAGCCGCGGCTATACATCGCTACCCAATGGTCGTTTCGTCTCTTCGAGGGAGTCTTCGATCATTTAAGGGGCAAAGGTGCTGAGAGAGCGAAGTCGAAAAGTCGGTCGGTGATGTTCAATTTGGGCCCGGAAGCGCCACTTGCGCCGGGAAAGAAAGTCGCCCGTCTCCTTCGGGAGGCTAGATGGAACCTCTGCTCCCTGCCCTACCAGGAAGACTTCGTCTAGCCTGCGGAAGGCGAATTCGAGTCGACGGCGGCTCGTTAGGTTGAATAATCGTCGGCTCGATTCGAGGGGAAAATGTGCGTTGTTAAGGGTTTGATTAGCGTATAGCTAATCCACCCCAGCGCGCAGCGGCAAACCGCGGGGACTGGGGCCCCTCCTTAGCATGGCACTAACAGCCCGTGCCAAGCTGGAGAGATGTTTCGTGGAGGTTGAACGTTCCTGTTTAATGACTCGGGCAAATTTCGGAAAAGAAATTGGTCTCCTCTATCTATTCGTATAGAAGAGAGGCTCCTTTAGTAGAACCTAATAAGAAATCAATGCTTGCTTTGGCTATACGTTGGCGGAGGTAGCGCGGTGTAGCCTTGCGTCCACGCTTATAGAAGTAGAAATGGACTGGTGTCTTGGGTTTCCTATAGTTGTAGTTGAGTAATGCATCTTGATAAGCGAATCTCTCGTGGTATGCTGTAAAGTCTCTATGATAGGATCTTACTGCGTATAGCCTTCTTAGTAAGTGCCGAGGGAGGCGGAGTTTGGGCGGCTTGGGGTGAAGAATTATCTCGAGGTCGGTATATTACCGAGGGTATTAGGATAGCCATTTTCTGGC